AAATACAGAGCAGTCTTTTCAAAAGGAATGAGCTGCAACTGAGCTGCAGCTCCTTCACCAACTTCTTTCACAACCTCTTTGGTACGTAGCTTTCCACTGTCCTGCTACTGTACCTTCTTTGCATACGCACTTGGGCGTTCCGATCAGTCCGTCCTTCGCTAGCCAACACCTGCAGAGTAAGCCACCGGTCCGATCTATTGGACTCGCGGTGCGATTCGTTTGACCTCAACACGTTCCTCCCTTGTTGTCATCTCCCGTACCAGTGTGCCAACAGCATTAATTGTCTCCCGCTTTTTATATTTGTTCGCAATCCTTGTCAAATTCATACAGTGCCATATTCTATGATGGCACCGCATCAACAAGACCCATAGCACATCGACCATATTCTATGTATTTTTGCTAATATCAACAATTATCGGAATTTCAGTTTGAGGTCTGGGTGGCAATGATTGAACACGGAATAAACAAATCATACGAATTTACACACCAATCAACCCAAAGAAGTCAGACATTTTCTTTTATCATTGATTCCTTTTCTCCCCATGAAGGATCCAGTGTCGTAGTCTTTGTGTTTTGTGGATTGCACCAGGAGATACTGTGCCGCGGTATAGAGCAGTAATGGAGAATGACGGCGGGAGAGCATATTGAATATTGCGGGAGAGATTTTGGACAGTCTTATCGACCCGTTGGACTCCCAAAAAACGGCAGAGCAGCCGCCGAGAAAAAGCCCTGGATTTTGAATTTGGTGTCAGAGTGTACATAGCGCCGTCTACTGTCAGCCGTCGGTCAACTTGAGTATGAGTCGGACAAGTCGAAAGCTGGTGCAACTCCAAACCACAATTTAAACACAGAAAACGTTGGTGGATCAACCATTTGAAAGTTTGTTCAAGTTTTAGTTGATACCTTAGCTTTAATGATGATAATGATAATGAAAATGAACTGGCTATACCAGTGTAGCCTAGTCCATAAACTCGTATCGCTAGGCTGTAGACAACATCATGTCGTTGTCAATTTCTCTAGACATCAGCTCGTTGCTTAAAACTACAGCCTTACGAAAAAGAAAGGACATTCTAAACTCGCTTCATGACTTTGCCATAACGCCACGTGGAAAACTAGAGTTTGATATGCTTCGAGAAAGCAATAAAGAGTTCCGTTTATGCACAATTGCATTGATGCCCAAGGCAGTCGTCAACCAATTGAGCATGGCTGATGTATCATTCTCCATCCCTGCTCATGATCTAGACGAATCCCATCGTAAGCAACTAAATCACTTAATTCTGAATCGTACAACCTTTAAGGATTTCATAAAGCGGAATAGCAGTGAAGCCTTTCGCAAGGTATGGTTTGGAAGGAAGAAAGGAGATCAGCTTACAAGAACCGAACAGTTGGTCCTGTCAATTCATCTTTGTTTGGCTTCAAGGGATAATGTAACACTAAAGGCTACTTCAAATTTGTGGGGAAGAGATGCAAGATCGATGGTCAGGTATACGATTCAATGGCCAGAAGCCTCAATTGGGATCTTCCGAGGCCCTTTTTCCTTTTGCTCATCCAAAGTGGTTGTTTGTTAATGCGTCAGGTGATGGTGGTAGGGACGAGTTATTGAGACAAAATGATGACAGCGGTGGTGCCCACTTTGTAACCCTAGTAAAAACAGATGAGCAGCCGGATCAAAGTACGCCTGACACCTCTGAAACTGAATCTGATGAAGACTTCTTTTCATTTGGTAAGCCAAAAGTTGTGGTTGTCAATGATAGCAGGGACGAACCATTGAACCAAAACGACAGCGGCGGTGCCCTTGTTGTCACCACAAGCACAGATGAGTTTCCAACACAGCTTAGGTTCTTATGGAGATGCAGATGAAAGCGATAATCAAGGCATTGTCGCTCTCGTGACACCAACTGAGGAGGGCAATGGCACCTTCGATTTTGAAACAGTCGCAGTGAGCAAGCCATCAACGTCGTATCAGCCGACAAGAGAGGATCTTTTGCGAAGAGATAGAAAGGCGAGACCTTCAGCCAGCAACAAGGGAGGAACGTGAGAGGATCTTTCGCGAAGAGAAAGAATTGAGGTCTTAAGCCAACAAGAGAAGAAGGTGACAGGATCTTTCGCAAAGAGATAGAACGACGAGGCCTTCAGCCAACAAGGGAGGAACGGGAAAGGATCTTTTGCAAAGAGATTGCATCGAAAGGTCTTCAATCCGCCTTCGCCGCAATAACGGAAACTCATGCTACCGCTTCAGCGTTCTGTTTCAACTCCGGTCGTTATCCGAAACACTTTGTCAAAATCTCAGTGAGTGACACAATGGAACGATATACAATAAATGATAGAAAGAGAATATGGGTTCAGAAAGTTGTCCAGACTTCCGGCAATGACAACCTCTCGGAGGATGACAAAGCTTCATCTCTGCTCATTTGCATTGCTCAGTCCAAGTCATCCAGAACGAAGTGGCCGCAAGAGCACAGAGGAAAGGCAAGAAACAGTCTGATTTGACTTCTGAGCAAAAGCAAAGAAATCTGAGATTTGCTAGCCGGGAAGAAGCACTTCAGAGACTAACTGAATTAAAATACTGAGCATATTTCTTCATTTCTATTTTTGTTAAACTCTCTTTGATCTTATTCAGTTTTTTTTAAAATGCGTCGTCTGTCTGTCGTCCCCATTGAAAAAGTGGACATTTCATTTGGTTGGCTGGCGGACGGAGTGAAGAGCATCGAGCACGGCAAAGTGGTCCCGTCTTCTTTTCCCAGGGCAGATTTGGGATTTGGTGTTCGGTGTCAACAATTGAGCTATTTATTTAGTATACATTTTTGCGTAGCTCCGTGTCGCATCATATCGCAGTTGACCACATTCCTTTTTCCGCCGACTCACTCAATCGACCAAAGGTTCGACTCTCTCAGTCGACTCTCTATATTTCTTCAATTTTTAGACGTTATGTCTGCTTTTCGCACCGTTTGCAGACCCTACAGTACCCTGTAGATTTACTGTATGGTTGCGGAGACACGACATCATTGTTCGCGATGAGGGCTTGTGAGATGATGGAGACACTAGAAGTGGCATAGCTGTACGGTCAAGACTTTCTTTTTTCTCGCCCTCACCACCCCTCTGTTTTCTCTCATTTGCACCTTTGCTCGGTACCTATTTGATCCCGGTTTGTTGTCAATCCTATTTGATTGTCCTCGAATCCTATGATGATTCGACCTTGGTGCAAACCAGTCTCTAACTTAGTACCTCGCGACTGTCCCAAATCTACTCGCCTCTCGTCATATGTAGCATGTAGATTATGACGCGGATTCTCGCCATCTACTACAGATGGGCAACTTAAGGACATCTCAAAGAACTCTTTCTTCCTCTTCATGTAAAAGCAAGAATTGACTCTGAAAACGAAGAGGCCATGCTACAGCAGCACAAGAGATGAAAAATGAAGTTGCGTTTTTAGTGCTGCCTGGGTTGGACCTACAATTACAGAGGGGTTGCTTGTCTTCGTAGCTTCAACCACTACAGTACAGCATCAAAACCGCAGATCAGAACCTCTGCAGAAATGGTGGGAACCAAGGTTGGGGCGTGGGGCATGTCCATATGGAGTTCGAAATTGAATAGTGTACAATCGCAACAACAAAATTAAAAGGCACCGACCATGTCCAAGTCTTGGGTAGCCAAGATGTCGTAGACGCAGTCCTTGCGATCTAATTCGTCCTTCAGCTCGTCACAGGCAGCCTCAGCTTGTTCGACAGAGACAATGGACTCTGACAAGCGGCGTTTGCGTTCACCACGAGGGTCCTCTGGCCTGATGCAGGCTTCGGGGAATTGTGGATGTGAACTTTGGTGGAAGAGTCTTGGGTCGCTTGGCAAAACTTGCCACTCGTCACCGAAATCACCAAAGTCGTCCAGTTCAGTTACTCCATCTCGAGCAAGGGTCTTTCCAGACTTGAAGTCTCCAAGAAGACCAACTGTGTTTCCAAAAATGGCTTCGTTTCCATGCAACCTGATGCGCACAAATTCCTTAAAGAGCTCAACAGTGATATCCTTTCCAGGATACTTTGGACTCAAGTCAAGAATGTATTGACGCTTGTAGGCGATTTGTTTCTTCATAATGACTGGGAATCCAGCAATATCTTCGACTTCTCCTTGATACTCGTAGTTGAACCAGTAGTGTGCCTCTTCATCTTCCGCATCAGGGGATCCTTCAATCTCCAGCACATCATTTCCAATTTTGATAGACACACCCTGAATGTAAGACCAGTGTCTCACAACCTTGGTACGGATGTGGACGTCCAATCCAAGGCCATCTGCGAATTCATCATCCTGCAACATCACAAGATCACACTGTCCATGGTATTCATAGTGCTCATTCTTCCAAGTGGTGATGTGCGGATCGCCACCAATATTACCTCGCTCTTCTTCTTCATTGATTGCGTTGACTGCAGCCAAGAGGGTAGCTATGAGACCAAGAGAAAAAAACTTCATTGCACGGATTTTTGAGTGACGCTCTCGAAAATGTGATGCAATTGTTTGATCTAACGTGAACCTCCAAGTCATGTATATTTCTCCGATTGTAACTTTCCAGCGGAATTTCTTAGCTTCCTTCCATGATTTAGGTGGTAGGTTCCTCCGACAATGCCTCCTCTGTCTGGCGTTCGTCCCGTATAAAAGAACCCGGAGACAATATGATACCGGGTATATCGCAATATATCACATGTTCAATGTGCATAGTCGATAATATTGATCTGTGCATTATTGCTCTTGAGATGTATGACTTCGTCTCTTGACCCGTCATCGTCACTATGGCTGTGGGTTTGGGCTTACGTGCTGATCACTGCTCCTACTACCTTCAGCTTATCACTATCACCAGCAGCTGATGATTCCAAAAGCGCATCCTCGTCCAATAATAATAAGTCTTATTATTGGAACGGATTGCATTTTCAGCTTCAGCATTTTTGGACTTGCCCTAGCAACAATGGCCAATCGACTGAGCGCACTGGTAGCAAACTTTTGGCTGATCTTTTGCTTCAATCGGAAGATGTCAATATTGGTTTTGTCAGCAAATCCCAAGCCAAACGAGCCTGTCAAAACGGAGCGGTATGGATTCTGAATAGCATTAATAAGGGGCATTTTTTGGAGTTGCTGCAACGCGATTTGAAGACCAAAAGCATGTTGGAGATGAAAAGCTTGCATCTTGATCATTCCGCGCTGATAGAGGGTCCTTTCCTCCAAGCACATCCATCCACCATATTGCAACCAAGTGATGAAGTTTGGATCATGGTCGACCGTCAATGGAAGTCTGGTTGGAACGGGTATCCAGTTTTCGTCACGAAGAACTGGTTGCCACCCCCAGCAAGTCGAGGTCTTCTTGATAGTCTGGCGGGGTGTGTTTTGTATGAAGATGACGAGATTGCAATGATCAACAAACCTAAAAACCTCACCACAATTTCAAATCCAATGGCAGCTAGTTGTTGCTCAATGAGTAGTACAAGCGATGATCGAGACGACTTGCAGTCCCTTCTTGGTTTCCTCCTTCAATGTCCCATTGATGGGACCACAAAGTTTCACAAAGGCGACGACGCTTACCAACCCAGACCAGTCCATCGACTAGACAAGCCGACATCTGGGCTTGTTTTGGTGGCCAAGTCAGCGAGAGCCATGAAGATCTTGAGCAAAGCCTTTGCCGAACGACAGGTTACCAAAACGTATTCTGCCATTGTGTTACATGGTGGAGACGAGAGTGGGCTGTACCAATGGGAACTTGACCAGTCTGAGAATCGGAAGGACGATCCAAGTTGGTATACAATCGACTATCCCATTAATGGAAAATCTGCCATTTCGTCATGGCGGTTGATACGATCGATATCTCTGCAAATAGGGTCACGTGTTTTGCAGCAGTTTTGTAAGAAGAACTATGACAAAGGTGAACTGTCATGGGATCATTCAGAACCGTCTGATAGTGATGCATCCCGAGATGATGATTGCAATCAGAAGCTTTCTCTGTTGCAAGTCCGTCCTCACACTGGCCGAACCCATCAAATTCGCCGCCATTTGGCCTATAACTTGGGTTCACCTATTGTGGGCGATACCAAGTACTATGCTGCTGGTGGCCAAAAACGCAAGGGACCCTTTTGGAAAGACTGGCATACGAACCAACCAAGGATGTACCTGTGCTGTCACGAATTGGAGTTTCCATACGATTTGTTGATTGGAACGCAGTCCACCGCAACAATGATCACGGCTATCAATAGCAAGAGCAAGACCGCTGCCAATGTTACAGTCGTAGTAGCAGCACCGAATGTCCAAGGTGCACCGACTTTGCGATTGAGAGTCTCTATCCCCTTGCCCTCCTCATTTCATGATTTGCTGTCAAAATAAATTCATTTTAATGATTGAAGAAGCAATTGTGCGCTGTAATGCCGCACTACTATCTAAAGGAACAATAGACTAAAATAAAAGGATATGTATGAATACTAATTGACTTTACATCTCCTTATTCTGTTTCTATTGATTGTAACAAATAAACCATCTATCGATACGATTGGTTGTTTTCTTCTAGTTCCCCACACAACCGAAGTGCCCTTATGTCAAGCAAAAGAAAAGATTTATTAAAACTTGCTCTTGTGTTGCTTGAAAGCACTGGCAGGAGGCGAATTCTTTTTGCTGGGGCGCGCAGTTTTCACGGCTGCCTTTGCTTCAGGTCCCGTGGCGGAAGTCATGGAGTGCCGAATGGACCAAATGGGTTCGTCTTCTTTGTTGTTGCCAAAGGAAGGGGTAGAGTTGCGTTTAGAACCTCCACCCAAAACTTTGCTGGACAAACCAGTACCGGAATGGAGGACCATTTCAATTTCGGGATCTCTCAAATTGTGATGAAGGTTGAGTGTTTCGACATTAGATGGACGTGATCGCTTTTGTCCCCGTCTGCGGGCCATGCCAACCAGCAAAACCACCAAACCAAATCCAACGATACCGCCCACCCAATAGCTTTCATTGAGATCGGCTCCATCGAAAATAGCGGCAATTGGAGATTCATCTTCAACTGCAGCTTCCGAAACAATGACTTGCTCTGTTTCGGGTTCGATAGGTGCCTCTTCGACAGTGGCTATGGCAGGAGCAGCAGCCTCTTCTTCGCTGTCCTCATCGTCATCATCGTCATCATCATCTTCATCATCGGCATCTTCGTCGTCATCATCGTCATCATCGGCCTCATCATCATCATCGTCGTCTTCATCGTCGGCCTCGTCATCATCATCATCATCATCGTCTTCATCGTCTTCGTCGGCCATGACAATGGCTTCTTCCTTGATCTCTTCTTCCTTGGCGGATTCGATGGCTTCTGCTTCCATCTCCTCTTTGGATTCTGCTTCAATTTCGGCTTCGGTAGGATGATGCTTGTGGTGATGTTTGAGATTGCGACCTCCTTCCATCTTAGCTTGATGATGTTGTAAATTACGGTGAATCATGTTGGCAAGGTGCTCTTCTTGCTCTTTGTTGTGGTACTTTAATGCCAGGCCACGGTGGGTGTGGCGCCTTTCTTCCAAAGCATCGCTCAATTGACGCTTACGGATCAGACCATGGTGTGTATCGGCCAGGACAGTGGCCGACACGAGCAAGAGTAGTAGAAAGGCTCTTGGAATCATGCTATTGCTGTTGTTATTGTTGTTGTGATTTTTGCTTGTCGAGATGTTTCGCGAGGAGAAGCCAGCAGTAGTGGTGCAATCGTGAAACTTGAGTGGTGGCGATTCACTTTGGCAGGCAGAGCGGTGGGTTGTTCAGTAAGTGCGATCCGGCAATACTGATAAATTGCACTGGCGGAGTGTATGTACGGTGGTAGGATTGCAACTGACCAAAGGGGCAACGAGGAGGAGAGTGCTTGGCATGCCTCGAGGCGCTCGTTATCGCCAATGGCACTATCGCCAAAATATACCATTATTATTGAGCCACAACGATGAAGTCGACTCAGACGAGTCTGTTTCTGGAGCCACCTTGCTCGGTCGTTTGAATGTGAGTTGGTAGGCCGGCGCATGGGGTGGAATTCTGGTCAAAAAGCGCCTAGTCTTCAGGTACCAGGTATGGAGCAATATGACAACAACTCACTCTATGCGATGATGATGATGAGCGCGATATGATCATGGTAATGTTAAGTCGCCGTGATGGTGTTACTGCGTGCAATACGACTGTACAGTGATGATCAAAGTCATGTGTTTTATATGGTGATTTTTTAAATAAAAAATCTGTAATCATTTGTCTAGGATATCCATGAGCCTTGGATGGGGCATTCTACGGAAGGAAGATCCTCTCGAACTTTCCAGCTGAATCCAAGCTCATTGAGTGCATTGATTCTCTCCAAAGTCATGCTGGACTCCTTTGCACCTTTGGAAAACAGCTTGAACTGCCTTCTCTGGCACTTGATCCAAGTGGCCAGTTCGGGATTCTCTGGATAGTTTGACGGAACGTTGCAATCGCCGCCGTGCTTCTTACAGTATTCTACGAGCTCTTTCAGGCGCTTGTCCCAAGTTAGTGCATGCGTGTTCCAAACAAAGCCAACGTCTTCGAGTTTCTTGATACGGTCATCGGTCATTGTGGACGGTGCCTTTCCAGCCGCCTTGAGCTTGTATTGGTATCGTTGCCGTTTCACCCATCGAGCCAAGGCTTGGTTCTTGGGGTATGTGTGGGGGACGAGACAATGGCCTTGTTCTTCCTTGAACTTGAGGAGCTCTTCAAATTGTTCTTCCCATTGTTGTTCTTGGTACCAACGGAAGCGTGGTTGTTGATCACTTGAGGAAATCCGCCTCCTCTTGACCATTGGTGCACTTGCTGTGATGGGTGGTTTTTTCGACGCCTTTCTCACCTTGGACACAGTTTTGCTTACTGTACTCAAAGCAAGCTCCAGTGCGCCGTCGAGGACAGAGACATCCAACACGGAGGGACCGGATGTTTTTGTTGCTCTTCCGCCAATTGGCACTGGCTCAAAGGCATCTGCGGGAAGATCACCAAACAGATTGTTGGAGTCCCAGGATCCAGCATTGTCGGTTTCAGTTGGCTGAGCATAATAAGACACATTGTGTTTTAGTTCTGGCTCAGGAGAATGAGGCTTGATGGGAAATTCCATCGAATTGAACATCATTTGTTGCGTTCCCATTGCGTTCGGTGTTGAAGGCATGATACTACTGTAGAGCAACGATGGAGTTTGATCAGGAAGAAGACGAGAACCACCAGTAGTGCTACAAGAAATTCTATTTGCTGAGCAGGCTTCGAAAAGATTGAAAGCGGCACTCATGGAGAGCTCAATGAAAAAGAAAAATGGGGGATTCTTCAAACCACAGTCGCGATTCAAAATTTTGAGAAAAACTGGTGATGTAGTTTTGTAGGACCACAAAAACGATTCTGAAATTATTTCGAGAGACTCTTCATTTTTAAATTAGCTCAAACTTGATGGCTTACAATTAGGGTAGGACCTTTGAAATACATCATTGGACATGATTCTTTCTTCGCCTTCCGCCATCGAAAATTGCGTTACTTTAGTACAAGTAGCAAAACGGCCTCTGACGGCAATGGGAACAGCGAAACGCGTCTGCAAAGAAGCACAAAAGCCGGAAACCAATTAAGTTGCTTCTCGGTGTTCAAGGTGCTCAGCTTTTTTATTCAAATCCGGTAGCGCTTGTGACGGTTCTTTTTCGCACTTCACTAACGTGGTGTTTATATATATGTATCACACTGTTCTGGGCTTTAGGTTTAAAATGACCACACAAACGGTAACGAGTGAATCATATAAAAATACCTTTGCAGTATTGCATTTCATGAGCGCGAGCAAAATACCTCGTAGAAAGTCATCATTGGATGTACAGCCAAGGGTGACGTACAGCTCTGCATTGCGGCGAGAATGAACGGTGCGGTAGGTCTCAATACCAGTACAGTTCAATACTCGGGACAAGGTGATTGCAAGTACCAGTCGAGGATTCCTATCCATAAATATTAGTACGACAAGCTTGCTTTGATGTCGACCTCGCTTCCAACCAATCAGGAAGAGTTAACCAAAGCACAGTGGGTCCGACGTCAGAAGTAGTCCTTTGTTTCTCAATTGTCGATCTACGCATGCAAAAAATCACTTTATAAAAAAAGAAAAGCTTTGAAGCAAGCCACAAGAAGAGCGAACCAAAAGGGGGTGAAAAGTTCGTTTCGTTGTAATACCTATGTAGCGAGAGGAAATCGAATGATCACGTCATAGGTTGTACTGGTAGTGCAATGCCATTCAATTTTGAAAATACGGTGCTCGAGCATCCTGGTAGTTCCTGCGTGATCCGTTGATTGGAACGCACAAGGGGACTTATTTTTATTATAAAACACTTATTGAACTTGGTCATAGTCCTACAGTAAGCAATCCTTCTACAGCTGGCATGAAACTTTTTCTAATGTTGGCCCTGTCATCATCTCTTCAACACTCCCGACGCCAGTTCTAGCGATGTGACGAATGCAATGAATTGGGTCCACAGGGATGAATCTCGGATGTAAGTCACCCATTTTAAGACTAGCTTTGAAGGAAGCCAAAAGGATACGAAGAGCGAACATATATGCGCATGCAGAGTCTTCTGTTGCATGGTAATCATGACTGGTGTTGGAGACAACCCAAGATCCAAGTCACACGCTGCAGCATATATATACAATGACAAAAGATGAGGATGCACCAATTTTAATATATTTAGTAGTCTAGTTATAGTACGAGTATATAATATGTACCGTATTCAAAAAATCGCAAGTTCATTCCTTTAGAACGAGGGGTTTCGATTGAAAACAGAATGATCTGAACCAACTTTCCAGCTGAATCCAAGATCATTGAGTGCATTCATTCTCTCCAAAGTCATGCTGGATTCCTTGTTGCATGACCAAAACAGCTTGTACTGGCGTCTCTGGCACTTGATCCAAGTTGCCAGTTTGGGATTCTCTTGGCAATTTGATGGAACGTTGCAATCGCCGTACTTGTTACGGTATTCTACGAGCTGTTTCAGGCGCTTGTCCCAAATAGCTGCATGCGTGTTCCAAACAAAGCCAACGGCTTCGAGTTTCTTGATACGGTCATCGGTCATTGTGAATGGCACCTTTCCAGCCGCCTTAAGCTTGTATTGATATCGTTGACGTTTCACCCATCGAGCCAATGCTTGGTTCTTGGGATATGTGTGGGGGACGAGGCAATGGCCGTGTTCGTTTTTGAAGTTGAGGAGCTCCTCGAACTGTTCTGCCCATTGTTTTTCTTGGTACCCACGGAAGTGCGGTTGCTGGTCATCATTTTTTGAGGACAAGATACGCCTTCTCTTGACCATTGGAGCACTTGCTGTGATGGGTGCCGAAGCCTTTCTCACATTGGACACAGATTTGCTTACTGCAACTAAAGCAAGCTCCAGTGCGCAGTCGAGGACAGAGACATCCAACACGGAGGGACCGGATGTTTTTGTTGCTCTTCCGCCAATTGGAAGTGGCTCAAAGGGATCTGCGGGACGATCACCAAACTGATTGTTGGAGGCCGAGGATGCAGCATTATCGGTTTGAGTAGGATAACAAGGCAGATTGCCTGTTGGTTGTGGCTCTGGGGAATAAGGCATGAAGGCAAGCTCCAGAACTACAGATGCATCGATTAACGGAGAAGGTTTTCTTTTTTTACTCTCTCCAATTGGAACTGGCTCAAAGGCATCTGCGGGGAGATCACCGAACAGATTGGAGAGGACACAAAGTGGCCCAGCGTTTTTATCGGATTCGGGAACGGCATGATGAGGCCGCATGCTGGTCGTATATGATTGTGGTGGTTCAGGAGAATGATAGGACGCAAAGGGGGAGTTGAGCCCCATGTCTTGTGTTCCCATGGAATTCGATAGCGAGTTCATCATACTTTGGAACAACGAAGGAGTTTGATCAGGAACAAAAGAACGAGCACTATCACTCATCTTACCATCATCATGATGGCATAAATCAATGAACGGCAGGGAACCCATGAGGAGAGATTGGTTCTCGATAGAAGAGACAAAGAATGGATGCTGCAAAAATCAAAAGAGTGAGATGTGATTGTGTTGTAGAAAAGAGTATCAGAAGGTACAACCGTCTGGCTCAGATATTTTGGACCATTGCTTATTGGTACATATAATATAATGGGAAACACTTAATATATTACATTGCTGGTCACAACAACGTCGTTGGTCATAGTAGAAAAACGTGCCACAAGTTCAAGTAGACATCCCCCATATTCAACTCCTAAAAGTATGGTAGCGCTTGTGACGGATTTTTGACGTGGTATTTATGTATCCGCGACTGAGGCAGATTTCAAAATAATTTTAAAACATGTGCGACAACTGGCATGCGAGTTTGTGCAGACTTCCTTCGCCTTCTACCAGGTACCCATCGACAATTAAGTGGATTGGGTATCGCAGAGTGGCAGTTCGTGCTCTTGGCGCATTTCGACAGCAATAGATTTTAGTTTGAAAGGAACGCAGATAAAAAAGACTGTCACAATGAATACACTGTTCTGTACACGTGTACTATCAAATAAAGGTGAATGTGCTATTGGATACGAGATACGTCGTACTGATACAGATGCGTACGATTGCCAGGGTCCGTGAGTAGTAAGGATAAATCGGCCTCTGACGAAGGTCGTCGATATGATGATGAGCACACTCTTTCTAAGAATATGTTTGATTTACACTACCGTCTACTATAGCTACTACTTTGTAAGTCAACCACATCGTAACGTTGTAACGATAACATGGTCATCTGTGGTATGAACGATGCCACTCTTTTCCAAGTACATACACAAGCTGAGAGAATCTCTTACAAAATATTCTCTGACGACTTTAGCACAACAATGGATACCTCTATCGAGGAACTCAACGACGAACTCAAAACTCTAGCGGGAATGACTGCTGCGCAAGGGCAAATTTGATTGATGCCTGGCATCAAGAAGAATATCCGCGCCTTCATCCAATGGTGCAGAGACAAAATTCGCATGGGACGGGACCCTGCAACAGCGCCATTCTCTATCATTGATGCAGCCCAACTACTTAGGCGCATGAAAACCCACAAGCAATACGTATATGGCTCCAAATTAATGTCACTACAGGCACTACCTCAAGACTTCACCAACGACGTCCAATGGGAGGATTGGAACCCAACGTTCGTGAACTACCTCCGTACCATGCCAGGAAGAGATGGAGTCCCACTGAAGTATGTTGTCAGAATGAACGACTCATCAGTTCCAACATTCCACGAAGACTTCCTAGAGACATACATTCAAATGGCACCACTCAATGGAGAAGCTTTTACAATGGACAATCGTGGGAAATACCGAGGCTGAGGCGACGCTACAAGCCATTGACGTCAAAGGCAAGGGAAGGGATGCATTTATCGCCCTACGCACCCACTACAAAGGTGAAAGACTCCTAGCTTACAACATTGTAGAGGCAGAACACACCATCAAGGACCTATGCTACGTTGGAGAAAAGCCTACAATGAACTGGTCCATGTTTGAACGCATGCTGAAGAAAGCATACGCAGCATATGACAAACATGAGGGGAGAGTAGTCCATTCGGACGCAATGAAACTACGTAGCCTACAAACCAAGGTTACCGCATCATTCCTACAACTGAACAAAACAGCGATTGATACGGAAATTGGCAAACGGCCGATGGTATGATGACTTTCACGACGAGAATGGAGACACCTTATGGCAGGAATCGATCCAAATGGAAATGAAGAACAATCGAATAGCCTTTGAAGAATTCGATGGGGACGTAGAGAAGTTGATTTCATACAAAAAGATCACGGGACACTTAATATTGGACATGAACATGGGAGAAAAATTCCGGAGGAAAGCCAGGTACTGAGCTGACGGACACAAGACTGAAGCGCCCGCAGCGTTGACCTACAGCACCGTAGGATCTCGTGATTTGGTCCGGATACTACTCATGATAGCAGCGCAAAACGGATTAGACTTGCAATGCGCAGATATCCAGAACGCTTTCCTCACTGCACCAGCAATCAAAAAGTGCTACATGGTAGTAGCAGGACCCGAATTTGGGGACAAAGAAGGCAAAGTCTTCATTGTAAGAAGGGCATTATATGGTCTCAAAGAATCATCAGCAGCATTCAGGTCACATCTGGCAGAGACATTGGAGGAATTGGGCTTCTGGTCGTCCACTGCCGATCCTGACGTTTGGATGAGGGCAGCTGTTAAACCAGATGGGGAGAAATATTATGAATACATCCTTTGTTACGATGATGACATCCTCTGTATGTCAATGAAGGCCAAAGAAGTAATGAAAGGAATCGGAAGGGTGTTCAAATTCAAGAAAGGGAAGATTGAACCTCCAGAGAGCTATCTAGGCGCCAGTTTACGAAAAAAGTATTTGGACGGAGTTGATATGTGGACGATGTCTAGTTATGACTATGTTGTGGTAGCCGTGTTAGAGGAGGACGCAACCGAGTGACAGATCAGCCAGCAGTTAAGGCAATGCGTTCTCTACAGCCATTATTACTAAGAATTCTTAGAGCAGTATTCTAGTATAAGTATTGCAAAATCGAATGTCTCTTATCCTCTCAATCCTCTTATTGTTGCTTAGAACATGAGACTTGGACGGGGAAAATAGGAAGAAATTTCCTCTCGCACTGTCCAGCTGAATCCAAGCTCATTGAGTGCATTAATTCTCTCCATAGTCATACTGGACGCCTTCTTCTTATTCTTGTTCTTGTTGCTGCCTGCCCGAAAGAGCTTGTATTGCCTTCTCTGGCACTTGATCCAGGTGGCAAGCTCCGGATTCTCGCTGTAGTTTGATGGGACGTTGCAATCGCCATGCTTCTTTCGGTACTCTGCCAGCTCTTTTAGACGGTTGTCCCAAGTAACCGCATGCGAGTCCCAAACAAAACCAATGTCTCGTAGTTTCTGGATACGGGTATCAGTAATTGAGAATGGTGCCGTTCCAGCCGTCTTTAGCTTGTATTGGTATCGTTGACGCTTGACCCATCGAGACAAGGCTTGGTTCGCTGGATAAGAGTGCGGAACGAGGCAATGGCCGTGCTTTTCCTTGAACTTGAGGAGCTCTTGAAACTGGTCTTGCCACTGTTTTTCGTGGTACTTGCGGAAGCGTGGTTGGTGACCGCTTGAGGAGGAGGACGACGAAGAAGAAGAGGAGGAGTGGTAGGAGACGCGCCTTCTCTTGGGCATATGAAAGTTTTCTGCTGCGGTGATACTATGGGGTGCTGAAGAAGCCTTTCTCACGTTGGACATACTTGAGGATGAGGACAAGGAGGACGAGTCAGCAGGGTCGCTTACGACTATTTCATCCTCCTCTTCCGAGGCGACAAGCTCCAGAACGATATCAATGACAGAGGCATCCATCATGATGGTGGAAGAAACACGTCTTGATGTGCTCCATGTTGTCCCACCAATCGGCACTGGTTCAAATGCCTCAATGGGGAGACCAGGAGGAGCAGTACAACCAAAAGAATCTTCGGTCGGACTCCTCGTTGTTTCAGGAGAAACAGCAGCAGCATACCGAGGTAGTAGAGTTGTATTTGGTAGTCGTTGTGCTAGTTGCTCTTGTGCTGACTCATCACCAGCAGAATGATGAGAGCTATCATAGTAGGAGGGGACGAATGATGGCATCCAATTCGTCACCGTACGTGGTTGGGTTTCATTTTGGACCAACGAACACGAAGGTGTTGGATCGTCCGGAACCACAAAGAAAGGAAAGTTAGCATCAGCATTCATCTTGTTACTTCTTGTTGTTTTATGAGAGAAGGCTACGGAAGGATTGATGTATAGGAGCGCTAGCAGTAGCACACATGAGCGAGGTGACGGCTGGAGAAAAGAAAAACATGGACGGATTCATTCGTCAAATTTCGAAGTGGCGTGATGGGTAGCAAAGGTACAGTACGGTAGTTTGGATGCGTATGTGAACCGAAAAGAAAAGAAGCTTGCGTCTGATCCAGAATTCCTCCGGAGAAGCATTGAGTGGGATCGAAATGATAAATATTCAAATATTCTGGTCATAGATTTGATCTTGTCCCCGCAATCAGAGAGCATCTTTTTGGTTCGATGAACGGCACCCCATCAGTTCGAAGGAATGGAACGACATGCGTTCTTTATCGACATAGAGTGTCTTGTACTCCGACGTGTGCGATGTCATTCTAACGCTGTCAACGTCACGTCACGCCATGTGCTCCAGTGTCGTTCTTTATATATGCGGTGTCATTCTATGGCTGCCACGTCCGTCCACGTCACTACGACGAAGCGCTAGCACTACTGTACCTACTACCTTACTCCTGGCCCAATTAAGTTAGATTGTCGGTGTTTTGAAGTATGTAACGGTAGATAGCTATTAGTATTTCACTCATACCGGTACGTATGCGTTTGTCATGCTGACGTTTCCCACGTCATGCAGCAGGTACACTTATTAGAACGAAAACGTCCATATGAAGAACGGTACCCCTTTTCAGTTCGAAGCATGCATGAAGTAGTTCTTTCCCTCACCACAAGTGACTATGGGCGTTCTCCTCATACTACAGCAGCGTTTCGCTCCCAGCACGTCTTGTACTACACACTCAGAATGACGACAACAAATCATGTGTGGTGTGGTGTATCGTGGAAAATTCAAAGTTGACATGCGATATCTTGCGTTACTTGTTTTGGTCTTGGATGATATGCTAAACGGCACCCCTATTCACTTCGATGAAGAAATGGCATGCGTTGATACGTATATATTATTGTTCAAGAGTTTGCAGGTACAGTAGTTCGCTCTTTGCTTCACTCACAAAAAGTGGCTGTGCGTTCTTGTCATACTGACGTTTCGCTCCCACAAGCAATGCCTACTAGCTACCGGTCCAGCACTCAGAATGACGACAACGAAGCATGGGTGTTTCGTGTCTTGACATACTACAGTATCTTGGGCTTGCGTTGCTTGCTTGTACCGGTAGTAGTCTGCCACCATTAGCTTTTTATTTGCCACCTTTTTTTATCAACTCTCTCCGTCTCGCCGTTCCCTTCTGTAGCCCTTCTGTCTTCCGTCGATAATGAGTTGTTGATGTTGTTTGAATGTGAGTTGGTAGCCGGCATGGACTAGCGATCACGCCGGCGGCTCAAGACTGAATTTTCCCTTGGTACTTTTGCTACAGAAATTCTACTACAGTATATTTCTACACGATTCTCCGGTACTTTTTGGACATTCTCCTGACATCCGTCAGCACCAACCGATTGTCTGTGCTGGAACGGGCAATGGAGAAACTGCTGTCCCAGCCGGTTGCTGCTTCCCGTTCGGCTGTTGGTACGATTGCTTTCGACGACAGCACACCTAGTTCTTGTTTCCTTTGTTCTTTTTCTGCGTTGTTGTTGTCAAGGTTGATATTGCAATCAATCAATCAATCAATCAATCAAAGAAAGCAACACTACAGAACAACACACACCCTCTAGTTGTAGTAGTATTCGTAGTACTATCCCACACCCGCACTCTCAAGTAACCATACTACCATACCAAAATGGCCACTGCAATTGCACGAGGACCTTTGAAAATCCTGCTGCAAAATGCCGCTGGACAATACATCTTGCTGGGTGTGGGAGTCTACGCTCTCTTTCCCGAAAAGGTTCACAAGATGTTGGAATACTCTCCGCATCTCATGAAGCTCGTGGATGGTGCTTCGTCTGGAAGCAACAACCGAAGTGGCAGAGATAATGATCGAAGGCAACCCATTATCATTCACACTCCGTCTCCTATGATTATTGGTGGAGGCGGAAGTAAAACGTGGATGGGAACTGCCATCTATGCGGCGGCTGGTGCTGGAGCATGCTGGGCTGGTTACATCGTCCTGGTACAGGTCTTGCCTGACACTGTGGGACAATTCCTTCCGGTCACGCGCACCATTTTTGACAAGACCTCTGTCTCGTTGGGCAAGGGCATCTTGAAGTGCAAGACTGTCCTAGAAGAAAAGATCAGGCAACTGGCTGGTCAACAAGAAGAACTTGGTAAGAAGCAAGATGCTACCAACCAAACTGTCTCTCACATCAAGAGCGAACTGGGAGAAGCTCGCATTGACATGAGCTTGCTGGCATCTAGTTTGGATAGATGCGAAGGATCTCTGGAAAAGAGTGAAGGCATGCAACAGTTTACGGCGCGCGGAGTGAGACTCCTTGTGAGATGCGTGGCCAACATGTTGCCCGACAATCAAGACACTGCTTTGGAACTCAGCAAATTCATTGAAGAAGAACAAAAGCAACTCGCCTTGGAAGCCAAATCCGGTGATTCCGGAAACGTGTCCGGCGAACCATCCACTCCTAACAACAACGCTCCTCCAACAAGAGGAGCCCAATCGACACCGTTGATGCGAAGTCGATCGGATGGTGCTTCTCGAAGATCCATGACCTCCACCAAGAAGACTCTTCCCATTGCGGATGGTGACATGTCCGATGAAGAATCTGCCTTTAATGACATTCGAGCCTTGTTGGGACATTAAGAGAGAAAGAAAGAAGGTCCTTATGGCCAGAATGTTCATTTGAAACATTATTGTCACAAGCATTAGGGTAATATTATTTGTCTATCAATCTCAATCAAAATCAAATCAAAATCATCCCCCGAGGAATTCATCCTCTTTTGTATACGTATCAATTTGAACCAATGCATGATAATAGTGATAGGAGTAAAGTATTAGGAATAATCAACAAACGATTTGTTATTTTACAACAACAGCAATGATGAGGTTCCGTCTGGTGCGCACCGCTTTCGGACCGTAGCTCTCGAGGTGCGAGGTGCTTTCCTATGATAGTAGGTACGCGATAGCAGTGGGCAAAAGGAAAAACGAAACGGGATAAAGTACAGTATACCGGTACCTACGATAAGATAAATAATAGCAATACACAAAAGGATGTAGTGGCAACTCAATAGTACTAGCTATTCATTCTAGCTAGACAGCAATGAATATAAGGATTCATCGCAAATGTATCCATTAGCAGTATCATACATAGATACCGGTAGGGGTGGTACGAAAGGCAACATATCATATGAGCTATGCCAATGCAAACCGCAGTATTTATTTCCTATTATGTGTAGGACTATAGGCAACAGAAGAAGAAAGAAAAAAAAAGTATTATTATATCATTCGCTTGACCATATGTACCTCTACCTATACTTACTACCTAGTACTATTATGATACTCTCCAAGAATTTTATAAGTGATCCTCTTATATACTGTAGCTTTCACATGATGATGATGATGATGATGATGATGATGATGATGATACTGTTTATGATGATGATGCAGCAATAGGAGAATAATATGCCGACATTGTGAGTTGAGGAAAAATTGGTTGTTGTTGGCCGATCATTATTGTTGTTGGCCGATCATTCTTTCTCCCATCCTTCGTTCCATTCTTCATTCATTGAAATAGGCGCAGTACCAACCAAAATATAATGTAATATATACAGGATTTCATTTCGTTTCCGGAATGATAGAGACATGTATATGTGTATATCTAGAGACATGTATATATTGTATATATATATATTTTCACGGATGATGCATTTTATTGCTCCAACATTCTCACTAGACGTCCAGCACTCAGGAGAGGAAGATTGCGGCGAAAGTTTGGAAGCACTGACAAGACGAGTGGCAAGAAGGTGTTGTAATCGTCATGATTCTCCAACAAATGTGCCTTTAAATCGTATTTGGACACTGTGCTGCTTCCATCATCCTCATCATCATCAGCGTCATGATCGTCGTCATCATCATGCACCGAACGAAGCAGCTGTTTCAAAGCCACCAAGAGGTTCGATTGATTTACGTAGTCCTCGGAATCAAGGTCGATACTAATAATCAGACGATTGAGATTTGTGTGAACATCTGCCAAGGATGCCGATGACGGTATTTCATCATTATCATCATTGGCATCATTGTTGTTGTTCTTGTTGTGTGAGGATGATGATGATGATGATGATGATGATGATGATGATTCATCGTCGTCGTCGTCGTCAAAGAACAGATTGCGTTTGACGCTTTGCAGCGAATCGTAGTTGGTGTAATCTGGTGGTGTCATGCTGCTGCTGCTGCTGCTGCTAAGGATAATGCTAAGGATAATAAGGATGAGGATGAGGATGATTGTGATGGACAACTGTTACGATGCGTTAATATATTTTAATATTGTCCATTCTTCGGATCGAAAAGATAATTATAATTGCTATTTTGTTCTGCCGGATGGAAAAAATATGAGGCGGGGGAGTCATCACTAAAATGGCGCGGTTTGGAAAACGGTCTAATTCAGTCCCCTATAATAATTATTTCCACTTTCTTGAACATACTCGTAATACTGTAGGTGGCAACACTACGCTCCTTCTATGGAATTCGTTTCTTTTTTAAAATGTAAGTTCACTCTATATTGCATATTATTAGGCAACCAAAGAGTATCATTGGATTGACATCCGCCCGACAACTACCACGCAACTGCCCCCAGCACAAAGAAGAAGACACTTTCTTGATTGTATGCATATCCACCACGACCCAAGCGTTGTACGTGCTTCCTTCGATAATATGCTGCTAACGATCATGATCATGATCATGACAACTCAGCAATAGGGTCATTCGTAATTGGCCGATCATTCTTCCTTCCGCGTCGTTCCGTTAGTGCCAACCAGGATGATGGAATGCACTGATTTAGGATCCTATAGCTCGAATGTCATGCATTTATTGTCATGGTCCTCTAGCAGTTGAAACAAGAGGTCGAAAAACTTTAGAGTAATTCTGGGGCGCATCTTTGGAAGTATTGTCATGATGATTGGAAAGATAGCGCTGGTGGTTTCTTGAACAGTCTGGTGGTCCTCCAAACATTCTTGCAGATCGCATCTGGACATATGATTTATAGTCTTCCATATCCTCGTCCTCTTTCAATAGACAGTCAAAAGTCTTCTTCCAAAGTCTTCTTCCAAAGTCTTCTTGCAAAGTCTTCTTCCAAAGTCTTCTTCGTCATCGCTATCACTGTCACTACTATCACTATCACGATCACTGTCATATTTTTCAGGACGGGCAGGATCGATGAGGAGGAGGTATGCGATGACGTTTCAACAACCTTATAAGATGTCCCATAGCATCGAGCATCATCTTATGCCTTCCGCGTGGCGGATTGATTGATTGATTGATTGATTCATTCATTCAATCATCAGATTTTCCATTCCGCGTGATGCATAATATGGATGGATGGATGACAATGATGTTATAATGATAGTTTCAATTCGTATCAATCCTCGTCGTTGTCGTCGTCATCGTCGTCATTGTTGTTGTGGCGTGATGATGATGATGATGATGATGATCATCATCATCACATCTTGTTGTTGACAGCAATAGTAAGAATAAGTTGTTTGCGCTATGCGCTATGCTCTTCCAAGAAGAAATTGCGAATGACGCTTTGCAGTCGTGATTTGCGGGTCCTTGTACTTTGTACTTTGGTGCCATGGTGAAAGTGATGTGAGGATTGTGTGTGTTGTGTTGGAATATAGGATATATATGATGATGATGATGATGATGATGATGATGATGATGATGACAATAAAAAGATAGTCGAAGGAGTCGAATCAATCTTTGACGATGTTATTATTTTTTGGGGGGTGCGCAATATAATATTCCTACCGGTACCATAATGCATATTATGCATATGGAAGGCATCATGAGACAATAACCGATAGGCAACAAACAAATCACTGCCAATGACAAAAATAATGGCATGTAGAATGTCATGATTATTGGCATTATATTCCAAGGCGCATGTGAAGCTGAATGAATCATCATCATCATCATCATCGCAGCAAGCAACACCAACACACACACGCCATATATATTGAATATGTTACCATTATGACCCGGTGCATAGAATTGGAAATATGCTATACTTATTGACTTTGTTGATGATCCATAGTCCTATATTATATTCGTTCCGTCATATTATAGTCAATGCGATTTGTGCCATTTGAGTTGAGCAAACGAACGACTGTGTTTCGTTCCACGGCCCAGCGACGATTCATTAGGAGCTTTTGGTAGTGGTGGTGGTGGTGGTGGTGAAGTAATTATTTCAGTGTCTTCCAGAGTCATAGTCCTCGTCGTCGGCCCCTGGTCTTATATTCTGACAAACGCAATGATAATGCGATCTCATTGAAAAGCAATCATGGGTGTCGATGTTATATTGCAGGGAGGATTACTTTTGTAGTTCGGTGGGCTGCAGCAATATATTGCCATGTCAGTAACTAGATTGCGTCGAAATAAGTAAGTATTGCGGACTATATTCCTTGCTGCTGCTTGGCTATTTTGGTTTTGTTCAGGAGGTTCATATGTGCTCTCTTCCCAGCATCATGCATATATGTGGACGAGTAGGATCACGACATCATGGCAATGAATCCAAAAAGCCAATGACCTACAGTATATACTTCCGGCGGATGCTGGATTTCACAAACGAACATCGATAATATGGATCGTTTCTGTTCCTTTGCGCTTATTGCCGATCGCGATGAAGATGCCTATAGCACTATATTGTTACTGGGACTCGACCAAATGACAAAAAATGGGTAGGTCAATCATATATATATATATATATAAGCATTCTCATCGTTACAGCAAACATTGACATATTGAATCAAATCATGACGATGGTAAGAGTGAGTCTATAGCGACAGATTGCGTATTGGTGTGTCGTCAGACGTGAAGGAATGAATGGTACTAACAATCCTAATCCTATTCCTACTCCAGAAAAAGAAGGGGACAACCGATGTTGATTGACTTTCTAGGTGGTACCGGTAGAGGCGAAGGATATAGATGGCTGCCTGCTATACTCTCAATCAAAATCAATCATCTGCATTGGAAGCAATGAATAATGGTCGTGATATCATTCAAAAGATTGAATGAGCCAAGCAATGATCGATATTGCCCATCTGCTTGGACGTCCGCACTATAATGATGACTATAGTACAGAACAAAGAATCCATCGGTAACGCAGTGATTGGATACAGGAATAATAGAACAAAAGGAAACTAGCACTGAAGATGATAACTATTTCAATTGAACATATGTTGTGAACTTGAGCGTCCTGCTGTCTTGTCCTTTACTTTTTCCATCCTGCATCTTACCACAGTATTTAGCGACACATCTTGAAATGCAATTTCTGAATCATAAACTCGACTGTCCACTCTTCCACCGCATTATTTTTGCTCGATGGTTTCTCTCCCCATCCATCTATTTCATCAATCATCGACGAGACATCTTGTCCTAAATGCATCATTTGGAGACATCTAGAAATCATTTCATTTCGGGTGGATGTTTTGTAAAGAGCCACCTTCCTGCCAAGTTCCATAATCTGGCGGGAGACTGTCCTTGGATCCTCACGACCTTCTTCGTCATCTTCTTCGTCATCATCATTGTCTTCTTCGTCTTCTGACCATGGCCCAAAATCAGGTCCTTCTCCGGACGAATCGCTGCAGCTACTGTCTCCAGGATAATCGCTCGAATTATTGTCTGCATCATCTCTGACATTATTGTCTTGATCATCGGCAGGTCTCCTTATTATTCCTCCAGTACTACTACTACTACTACTAGGCCGCTTACTGTTGTCGGGCGATGCTGAATCATCATCATCATCATCATCATCATTGGATGGTGCTTTTCGCTTGCGTTGTTTCTGCTCGCTGTTTGATGCCTTTGTAGTTTTAGACGTCTTGGAAGTTTTCATGATATTGCTGGGTATATGTCGTTCTTATATACTCGTACAGTTTATACCGCTTGAATGAATGGTGATAGGATGGTGATGACGGAGGCGTGACAGTGAAACGGTGGATCTTATTGCAATTTCACATTATAATTAATGACCGGGGTTAGAGTTGGTCACACGAGTCGAACTCCTCCCATGGTGTATAGGGATGTACGGTACGAGCTGCTTGGACTATTATTGGGGGATGCCTTAGTCTTAGTTCACGACGGACTTGCTGCTTGGCTTAGAAAAATTCGGCATGATAGCTTTATTATCCATCGCAGCTGCAAATAATGCCTGAGCAAATCACACCAGGCTGGTGCTTGCTTCAGGTACGAACAAGAAGAAGGAAATCCTCTTCTTGAGTAGTATGTAGTTAGTTTGATTGATCATCGTCGTCACATCAATTCCGATATCGTTTGGTCTGAAACATTGTAGCCTGTCGTTTCCATCGCCGTCGCATCAGCATAACATCGCCATACATATGATCTTGCGCTTGTCAATGCTCGACCACCACACACAAAAATCTCTTGTGTATGTACAATATTGATTTCCCAGCAGCCACAAAGATTCGTGATCCAAGACTAACCAAATACTAGCTTATTGTTGCCTCTTGGATCCAAATGAACCTATCGCACCCTCCAGATATCACAAGCGATCCAAATTCAACTTGGTAGTCATTTCAGCGGTGGTTGGACATTCTTGTCCCACTATTTGGAAAGCACGGCAACACCATGGAATCATCAATCTTCATTCTTTGCTCGTATTGGTCTGAGCGAATCATCGTGCCTCTTGGTTTGATCCAGCGTAACTATAAAAAAGTTATTTAATTCTCAGTCATCACCATCTCTGATCTCATGCTTCTTCTCAGAAAGCTGCTCTTCCGCCATGGTTCTTATTGATGCACGATGATGCCAGACTTCCTTTCCCATCGATTACCATTGCGACGCAGCATTTCTTCAGTCTTGGAATCGAATCGAGCATTGCCATTTTGTAGTAGACGAAGAAATCAAGTGCACGCTGCTCTGGTCGTTTCTGGATCATTGGGCCAGTTGTTCTTGTTTCGTCGTGTGACGACTATCCGGTTCTTGAAGGAGATCTTGAATATGCGCTCAACCAATATCTATAGGATGGACGCGTTGCTATGCAAATGAAGTCATTGAAAGATCAGCCAGATACTATCCGTATCCAGGATGGAGGATTCGTCGTTCGTCGTTGTCATTTCGTCGTAGCATGCTGGTGGCTCCTGGCTGGCCTGGCTGCTGTTGATCTTTTAACATCATGATACTGCTGTGTGGAATGTCCATTCCAATCCGCCGTTGACGGCAAGTGTCATGCTGCGGGCTTCAAAAGGTGAGGCAAAATGCCGATTGGAATCCTTATTCTGATTCATTCCCATGCCCATTCTTCGTTTGGATCTTGTGTGCCAAATCCTTCGTGGAAGCTTTTGCCAATGGACCTTCCAATACGATTCACGATCCAATGCAAGTCCCGAATTTGGATCCGTTGATTGTTTCATGTACAAGTATACGCAATTTCCGTACTGCGTGAATTCAAATGCTCATGGGCGTCGTCCGTTGATCCAACAGTCGCGGTGTCCGAGATTTTGAAATCCGTTTGGAAGCGTAAAATAACCGTCGGTTGGAGTAGGCTTGACGTAGGTTTCTGCTTGTGGTTGGACGGGCGTGATAAATCGAGCGGTCCCTGCCAACAACACCCAAAAAGATACGATTGACCTACCGAGCGGCCGGTGCATTAGCGTAGCGTGCGCCTGTTTGGAGGTCTACCTCACGGTCCTCTCGCAACAGAAAATCAAAATTGGAAACCTGAGAAAGAGAGGTTTGTTCGATTGAGACAAGAACATTACCTTATAGATCCCATTGGATTGAAACAAAACCAGTCTCTTGTTGTAATAAAAGCAACAAACATTTAATCTTGTGAATACGGCGTTGAATTACTGAGTAAAACAAGAAAACAGGACAACCGAAAACTACCTAAAATTCAGGTTGCTTTCCTCACAATCCTCACAGTATGGAGCTCAATCAAAGGGTTTGGTTCCGACGAGAGTCCAGTGCTTGGGGTTGGGTACCCGCAGTGATTGTTGGAAAGGAAGATGTAACTATTGGAGGCGTTGAGTTGATCAATATCACCTTGGTCAATGATCGGAATATTGAAGGAAGCAACCGAGCAGGTGCCGCCGGAAGACGCATCAAACGAAGCGGAAGTCAATATTTTGCCAATGAAGTGGACTTTGAAGAAGTGATTCAAGTAGACCCTGAACAATTGAAGACTGCTGATCACGACGATATCAAATTGAGAAATCTTCCATCGTCCTTTCAGGTCTCGGGTGAGGATCCTCAATCGGGTGTCATTGCATCACCGTCCACGACTTTGAACAGTTCTGTAGTGGGAGGTGTGGATGATCTTATTGAATTGACACATTTGCATGAACCTGCTATTCTTCATGCCCTCAGGTTGCGGTATGATGCTGATATTATCTATACATCCACTGGTCCCATTATGATTGCGGTCAATCCTTTCAAGCGTATGGATTTGTATTCCGATGAAACGATGAACAAGTATCGAATTCAAGGAGAACAAGGAAAGAATAATAATGCTTCGACATTGACGGAGACTTCCAAATTTGTTACACCCTACAAGAAGGGGCACAAGAAACCTGCTCCAACCGCAGCTCGTAGCCCCCACAGGCTACATCCTCATGTATACCAAACTGCCGATGATGCCTATAGACAGATGCTTCGAGGATTGGAAAACAACACACTTATGGCTGGAAATGACGATCATCAAGTTTCTCCTGCCAACCAATCGATTCTTGTTTCGGGAGAATCTGGTGCTGGAAAGACTGTCACCACCAAGATTGTCCTCAACTATTTTGCCATGCTGTCCCGAAAGCGAGCAGAAGCCGAGTACCAATCCACTCCAAGCAAGTCGCCACGAAATACCGCCGATACATCTCGGTCGGATAACTTTTCCATCGAGCAACAGGTTCTTCAATCGAATCCTATTTTGGAAGCATTTGGAAATGCTCGTACCATTCGGAACGATAACTCTTCTCGTTTCGGAAAGTACATTGATATCAACTTTTCCAAGAATGGAAAGCTATCAGGCGCAAGTATTGAAACTTATCTATTGGAAAAGGTTCGTCTGATCCATCCCTCACCTGGAGAACGTAACTACCACGTTTTCTACCAATTCTTGGAAGCTGCTTCGGCAAGAGAACGCCAAGACTTTTTCTTGGGAGGAAAGACAGTACACGACTTTAGACTGCTTGCGGACAGTGGTACCTTTGATCGACGTGATGGTGTCAGTGATCAAGAAAACCACAACGAGATGTTGGAAGCCATGGTAAGAAAAACTTGATTCGAATCAGTTACGTGCTGTTTTTGATCAAATGACTCACGAATATATTTGCGACAATGATACAGATGACCATGGGATTCCAAGGAGAAACCATCCAATCGCTGATGAGATTGATCGTTGCCATCTTGTTTGCCGGAAACATGAGCTTTACCCCATCCGAAGATGGAGAGTCCTGTAAATTGGACAAGACTAAGTCTGCCTTGGCGTGCGCTGCATTGATGGGAATCTCCTTTGATGGACTTGCTGCGGCATTGACTTCGAAATCAATCGTAGCTGCCAACGAGTCTGTCGAGAAGCTTTTGACGATTGAGGAATCTGGAAAAGCATGCGAAGCACTCATCAAGGCTGTCTATGGTGCCGCTTTTGATTTTATTGTCCAACAAATCAATGCTTCAATCACTACTGAATCATCCAATCAAGCTGCAAAGGCTGCTTCTATTGGAGTTTTGGATATTTTCGGTTTTGAATCCTTTAAAATCAACTCGTTTGAACAAATTTGCATCAACTACACCAACGAAGCCTTGCAACAACAGTTCAACCGATACGTCTTCAAATTGGAACAGCAGGAGTATGAAAAGGAAGGAATCATGTGGAAGTTCATTGCCTTTCCTGATAACCAGGATGTTCTCGACTTGATTGATATGAAGCACACTGGTATCTTTGCTCTTTTGGATGAACAATGTATTTTGCCACGCAGTAGCGACCAAAAGTTTACTCGATACCTGTATGCTCGGTGTGACAAGCACTCTCGATTCTTCGCCACTTCGAAGCAACGTGTGGACTATGTCTTTAGCATTGAGCACTATGCTGGTCTAGTCGAATACACACCCGATGGATGGATGGAGAAGAACAAGGACCAGCTTCCTTCAGCGTCCTCTGAATTGCTTAAGACTTCTGACTTTGAATTGATTCAAGATATCAACCGGTTTGTCCGATCCGAAGATCGTGGTGGACGTGGTACCGTCGCCACCAAGTCCGTTTCTTTCCAATTTGCCTCACAACTACGAACTCTTCGAGCCCGTATTGAGAAAACCATTCCACACTACGTGAGATGCCTCAAGCCGAATGATGAATTGATTCCCGACTTTTTCGAGCCCAAGAATGTTGTGGATCAATTGAGATGTGGTGGAGTGTTGGAAGCTGTCCGCGTCAGTCGTGCTGGATACCCTACTCGTTATCCACACGACGTCTTTGTTGCCCGATACTACATTCTGGGACCCGACAGCCATCAGCCAGCACCAAACAGCTTTGGCGGCATTCGCTCTCCCATGTTTTCTCCAGGTGGCACTGCAAATGAAGACAAGGCTGAAGAGTTGAAGCGTTTGATTGGTAAGATTGCCATGGATCTTTGGATGGTGGATCACGAGGCTATGCAAGTTCAATTGGAGTTGGAGCGCCAACGCCAGGCTACTTCAACTTCCAACTACGCCATCGTTGAGACCAAGCCACATCATGATGCTTTGTCCAAGATGAACAAGGGTCAGCCAAATCTTTCCAGATCACTGGCAGTGGAGAGTTCAATGATGACCCCGGAACAGCAAAGAACCAAGTACAACAAGAAGAAGAACAAGAGAGGAGACCGTGAAGACAACCACCGGGTCTCTCGACCAGAGACCCAAGAAGAGTTTTTGGATTTGGACTTTGCCTCTCGTTGCGCAGTCGCTGGTCTTCAATTGGGGCGCACAAAAGTATTCTTGCGTCGTGAAGCTTTCGACCGCATTGAGTCTTTGAGATCCGAAAAATTTTACGATGCAGCATCCAAGATTCAAAAGATTGTTCGTGGAAAGCTATGCCGCGAGTACTATGCCATGTTGATAATGGATTTCCGGGCAGCCCGCATGATCCAATGTGCGTGGCGCCAATGGTCCGCCAGGATGTATATATTTGAAATTCAACTTGCTCGTCGCACTGCAGCAACGATCATTCAAAGAGCATGGCGGTCGCAGAAGTATGGAGTCGCAGAACCCGAAGGACCAACAGAAGATGATATTATTCGTGCTGTGGTTTCTGTTCAAGCCATGTATCGTGGTGCCAAGTCTCGCGAACAGTTGATGGAGAGTCTCAGTGCACCTTCACCGATGTCCGCGCCAAGACATGTGGAATCTCCCAAGCACGTTGTTCGTGAGCGTCAATTAGCACCCGTTGTTCCCCAACGCCAAGTGGCCACACGTGTTGACAGTGCTGAACTTCAAGCACTCTTCAATGAAATTCAACAAGAGAACTGGGCCATGGTGGAGAACATCCTCGACAAGCACCCAGAACTTGCCGAGCAAGCTGATATGAAGACTGGAGAACTGGCTTTGCACAAGATTGCCAGGCATAGTGGAGCATGGACTTTGTTGATTGATATGATTTTGGTCTTGTTCCCCAAGGCATTGATCCACCGTGACAATATGGGTGCTCTCCCCATTCACCATGCTTCTGCTCATGACAACTTGCCTGCACTTGAAATCATCCACAGTGCCTACAAGGAAGGAATCAATGACGTCGATAAGATGGGTCGTCTTCCCATTCATGTTGCTGCCAACTATGATGCCGTCGAGGCCATCAAGTTCCTTTTGTCCAAGAGCCCAGAAGGTGCCTACACAATGGTTTACCGGCCGCCAGTAAACTCTGGTGGTGGCTTGCCACTTCACATTGCCTGTCGCAACCATGCTTCGATTGGAGTTATCACTGCACTTCTTGCCGAGAACTTTGCTTCTGCTAAGAGAACCGATGAGAACGGCGATCTTCCCTTACACTTGCTATTGCGATGCGGCGAGGTGGTTGATCCAGTTGTCGTCAAGACATTGTTGACTTGCTTTGCTGGGGCCGTCTCCCGAACTGACATGCATGGAGATCTTCCCTTGGTCACTGCAATCAAGTACCTCTGCTCTTCGGCTGTCACGAATGCCATTTTGATGGAGTACCCAGAAGCTGCCGGAATCTTGAATGGAGAAGGTCACAGTCCTCTACACCTTGCCTTTATCCACAATGCCGATGATCGTACCATCATGGGACTCTTGAATCATGCTCCAGAATTTGCTCTCCAAGTTGACAAGAAGACTGGTCTCTTGCCGATCCAAGTCGCCACTGACAATGAGCATTCTCACTTCATTGTTCACAACCTTCTGAAGCGTGATCTTCCTGTTGATCTTAAGGAAAAGATCAGAGCTCAACTTGTTCCTCATCACTTCTCATGGAACCACATTGTTACCAACTGCGAAGATTTGTACTACCAAGTTGTAGCTAAGGTCCTTCAGTCGTGTACCCAACCACAAGTCTTGGCTCTTGCGCACGTCGAAGGACCAGATGGAAAGATTGCGCTTGGATCAGCAACTCCAGTGTGCAAACATGAAATGAGAGTGATGTTGCGTCTGTTCAATACCTTGGAGGTCGTCAACCAACGCCCAGCCTACACCAATCCAGTCAGTGATACTCAAATCTTTTACGCACTTCGATACGATCCACCACCAAATGCTAGTGGAGCCTACACTGTTCTACATGAAGAAAAGAACAACAAGGGTGATGACTTTTTGGAAGACATGGACGATGCTTCACTCGTCTCTGGAGTTTCCAAGATGAGCATGCGGTCAACAATGACGTCCAAGACGCAGCAAACGATCGATGACAAACTACGCCAGATTCGAAAGGAGAAAGGACAGCAAGTCATTGCCAAGCTCACTTCTCGCTCGGAGATTGTCGAAAGAGAATTGAAGATTCGCAAGGATTTCCACTTGTCTCGCCACTACGTACCTGCTGTCATTAGTGTGCACCACACTGTACAACATGCTGCCTACTCGGAAGCCATGGCCGAACCTGGATACTGTATCACCATGGAGGGTGCTGACACTACTGCGGAGAATCTCATGCTGGACATGCGAAAGCATGGCAAGGCGTTTCCTTTGAAGGCTTTGAAGCGCATTGGAATTTCGTTGTTGCACTTGCACGAGCACGGAATCATCCATGGTGACTTTGGAACACACAATATTGGTAAATTTGGGAGCCGATGGAAAATGTTGGGAGTTGGTGGGTGTGTCAAACTTGGCAGACCCACTGATCCAGGCCGAGGATTTTACCATCCTCCTGAAGCCATTATCGTGGAGCAAAGGAGAGCCGCTCAAACGCAAAACAAGTTCTCTGCATCCGTGGTTTCAATTCCAGCACACACTACTTATGATATTTGGGCATATGGTGTTGTGCTATATGAAGCTCTTGCTGGTCTTCCACTTGGACCCTATGCATGCCGCGGAAAGAGAGCCATGAGCTCTGCCGAAGTTGCGAAGATTGGAATGTGGGACGAACAGATCTTACGAAAAGCTCTTCGACATATTCCCGATGGCAGTCCTGCACGCGACTTGTTGAAGCGTCTGCTACATCATGATCCAACCAAGAGAATCAGTTCCATGAGACAGGTCTTGGAGCACCAATTTTTTGCCCAAGGAACCGACGGAAGAGGAAGCGGGGGAGAACACTTGGAGCCAACCCAGACTTTTTCCTCTCTTCAAAGTGATAACTCGAGACAATCGGGATCCGGCAACCAGCAAGCTGACCCATTTGGAGGAAACCACGCATTCGATGCTGACTTTGCTGAATTTTCGGATGCCCCCAAGATTGGGTTTTCCAATTCGAATTCCAGTGATAGAGAAAATGGCGGCTTTGGACAAGGTCGAAGTCAGGGTTCCAAGTCTGGTTTTGATGGAGCAAGACAGCAACCATCAAGGGCTTTTGGACAATCACGAAACCAAGCTTTCTAAAAGGATTGGATCTATTTAGCAAGCTACCACTATCATACCCGCATGTTGTTTATGTTGTTTCAGTTACTAAACGATATTGAATATTTATAATAAAATATGACTTCCATATTATACTTTCTGATTCTAATATACTGATACTGTTTGCAATACTAATAATTCATCTCCATCACAACTTTGACATAGAATAGGTATACCGGTATGCGAGGTCGTCTATTTTAAATCGTCATCGTGGACTGACACGTGAACCGAATTAGGCATATTCGCCCGAGAGGTCTCAGTCAATTTTTGGTCGAAATGAAGCGAAAAGTACTGACGCTGTATGTAGAGACAAAAGGTGGGAGTCTAAAATTCTGCATCTCCGTCCAATCGAAAGCTCGGCTCGTGATCGTTTCGCATCGAAATTCCAATTTATTTGCATATAAAAATATTCAATCCTGTCTGATCTAATTCTCTCAATGAGAGCAACACATACCCGCTTCTAGTGTGTGTAAGCTCCTTTAACAACACAAGATATGCTATTACACTCGACTGCATCACAACATAGTTTCACTATCAACCATAATGGAAACAACGAACGAAGAATAGAAACTCCTAATGACAAATCCTTAGGCGAAACCGATCTTAAAGAAGACATCAACGGTTCGGATTGGAATAAGATAATGCCAACAGCAAAATCTCCGTCGAATGAAGAAATAGAAACGAATGCAACGGATATTGAACATGTGATGGATGCTACTACTCCTTCCATCAGCATCAACAACAGCAAGGTTTGCTTATTAGAACCACTATCCGATGAATGTCTGAAAACTCCCAACATTTTTCAGAAGATTTCTTATGAAATTTCAGATCACAACGAAGATGATGGTGGTGATGATGATGATGAATGTGATATACCCGAGCTCGTTGAGGAAGACGATTCTATTCTGGCGAGTATACGATTGGATATCTTGCATCCAGAACCAGCATCCGTTTCCGCAGTATCCGAAGTGCCAACATCCATCTCATCCGCAACTTCACCGCAAACTCTGTTTGCCACACAGCAGCCCTTTGGCACTTCAAGACCGACCAACTCCATTCTCAAGACATCGATCACCACTTCTGGTTTCAAGAACAAGAAGAATAATGGTCCTACACCACGTCGGATCCGTGGCATGTGGGATGTCAACATTATTATCAGTGGTGACAGCGAAAGTGACACAGCTGACAATAAAACTATGAAAAAGAAGAAGACTCCCAATGTTTTCTCACAACTCCGAGATGAAACCATTATTCATTGTCTTTCCTTTCTTGCGGGAGAGCCCATTGATTTGCTGGCGGTATCGCAAGTGGGTAGAAGATTTCATTCGTTGGTCACCACTTCCTTGTCCCTTTGGAGGACAGTGGATGCTACTAACTTTGTTCATCAGCAATTCAACCAACACTCCAACAGCGGCGAGGCAACTACCAAGACCTTGGCGAAACTACTACTCAAGTACCCTCCAGAGACCTTGATTATCCGAGACATTGGCGACAAACTACACGCTGATGAATCATTCTTGCCTCCAGCTGGAAGGTTGAAGAATCTGACCTTGACCCACTTTGAAGATTTGACGGATACTCACGTGCACGTATTGTTGCTGCTTTTGGCCCTACCTGTCAAGCAATATCAGAAGAAGAAACTCGTGCAAGCATCCTCCTCCTCCTTGCAACAGTTATCTTTGGAGTACTGTCCTAAGTTGACCAACGCAACCGTTCGGTCCATCGCTTCGTCGCCAAGCTGTGTCGAGCTGCAATCGCTATCAATCAGAGGAAATTCTGGCATTTCTGATCTTTTACCAATCGCTAAGCTACTGCAAATCAAGCCAGGGACAACGGTTCCTACCTTGCGTCCCAGAAAGCCAAGTTTACCGAATCCGCTAGCAAGCCTCTTTGGCGGTCCACCAGCACCGTCAACACCTAAACCTCCAAGACATTCTCCTCCGGCAGGATTAAACTCTTTGTTTGCGCCACCGCCACCGAAACCTGGCCCTCCGGCAGGATTGAACTCTTTGTTTGCACCACCGCCACCAAAACCTGCCCCTTCAGCAGCAGGATTGAACTCTTTGTTTGCACCACCGCCACCGAAGCTACCAGTGTCAACAATGGAACTACATAAGACTGCAGCACACTCTGTCACTGCATCGCCACCAAGAACTAGTGCTCTTCATTCCTTGTTTGCACCGCCGGGAAGTTCCCCACAACGCAATCAAAGTCTCACCACAACACCTACAGCTACAACAAATACAAATACAATGTCTCTACCAAAAACTACAATTATCAAAAGAGGCATCTCCAACAGTACGAGCCATGCAACAATTCCAAGCTTGGGCCGCAACACAAGCAAATCTTCCACCAGGGCCTTGTGTACCATCGATATTCGATCGACTGGCATTAAACCGCAATCATGGTTGCAATGCTGCCAAGAGACCACCACCTCGTCTTCCTGTAAGCTTTGGCTCCAATCCTTTGCCATGGATGGGGATAGTTGGACGGACCAACTATTGAAAGACTGGGCCGATCTCGTCTCCCTTCGTGACTTGAAAGTGCTAAATCTCGCAACAGCGATAGCCAATGGTGGTGTTGGTAATGGGGGTATTACCGACACCAAGGTTCTGGAAGGAGCGACATGGCTACAGTCACTCAATTTGAATGGCCATAATGTCAGTGACACGACGACCACGACGATTGATCAAAGCAACAAATAATCTGCAGACTTGCCGACAACCATAGAATACAATACGAGTGCGGCCACCTGACACCAGCAGAAGTCGAACCACAACCCTGACCTTCTGCTTTGACCAAATCAAATCAAATCAAATCAAATAGCGCAACAACAATAGCGCAAAGAGTGCAACAACGGCGCACCCAATATTCTGGAACTTGGAAAACCAATTTTGTAACCTCAGGTTTTTTCCAGAGTTCCGTCTACCAAACCAAACAACACATCCTTAGATTTTCATCAAATCATTAAAATTGTAAATTATAAACGAATTATTATTGTGGATATCGTCAGTGCATGAACATTAGATTAGTAGACCAAAGCCTGTCAATTCAACTAGGTAGACAACCATTCCACTACCGACACCAGTACTTCCAACAAGAAGCTGGCTGTTCTCATCGTCCTCCTTCAGAATGTTCCACGTGTAACATCAACATTCCTGATTTATTGACGAATCCATCGTTATTGTTGGAAAAATCGCCATGCACCATCCAAGAACCGTTGACATGTACTGCCACGATTTTCGTTTCGTTTGATTGGATATTTGTGCTATCCGATGCAATATTATTCGTAGTAGTAGTAGTAGCAGCAGCAGTAGCAGCAGCAGTATTTGTGGCCATGTACAGTATTGGTGTGGTATCCCGTTCGTGAAGTGGAACCTGTTGACCTCGCAAGAATTGGCGGAGCTTGATGGGACGACTTTCTGTTGGTTTCCATTGCGGACGAAACCGTAGCAAAGCATTTGGCATTTTAGCATATTCTTCCACTGTGGTTTCCAGGAATTGCAAATCACTGGTAATCACCTCCGCGGGTATGGCTAGCCTCAAGACGGAATCTCGGGCTTTGTCGTTTTCGGGTGCCATGGACCAAGTCCACGGACACCCACTTTTCACTTTTGGATTTGTCGAATCATCCCCTTGTTCCGGGCTCATAGTGATAATCTTCAATCGAGCCCCTTTTCGCTGCAATCTGAATTTCCCGCCTAGATCCATGATCCAATCCAGTTCGTTTGGATGATGTCGTAGCTGGTGCAAAACCCTTTGGAGCATGTCGTACGACAATGAAGTGCTACGATTGCCATTATTGGAAGACATCTCATCATGACAATGTCGTCGTTCAACTTCTTCCTGCATCCATCGGAACAAGGCTTGAGATTGTAGCAGCGGTGAACTTGCTCTAGCAACCTCATCCGTCTCCCAAATAAACTGGCGCTCTGACTGTGGTGTTCCATCCACTACAACTTGCCGCCGATCCAAATAATCCAGAATCTGTGGTTCCAACTCTTGTTGAAGCTCAAAGCTTTGCTGTTCCAGAATTTCCAGTCGCTTGTGAATGCTGGGAGACAATTCTTCCATGAGCGGTATCAGTTCATTCCGGACGCGGTTCCTCAAGTACTTGGGAGACGCATTGGAAGCATCTTCCCTCCAAGTCTTGTTCTTAGACATCAAGTAATCTTGAAGATCCTCCTTTCGTTGCTTCAGCCATGGCCGTAGTACATAAATGTTGGATGTTTGGGCGTCATTACCACTATCGCCACCGTTGGCTTCACTATTTCCGCCATGATCCAACGTGGTGATTGCCTCCATTCCGGATAGATTCAGAATATGAACCCCTCTCAGTAGTTTTAGCAAGAGACTTTCTTCCGAATCGTTGCGGTGATGAGCAGTAAGGATTACACCGATGGGTGAAATGTTATTATCTTTTGTGACCACCGCCTGCGCCCTTTTTGAGTCCAACAACAATAACGATTGAGTATACTCCAAAAGGCGTTGCCTCCGCCATCGACGCGCTCGGTTCTGCGAGAATTTCGGAGCGTCTGCATCTTCCTTGGAGAGTTTCATTTCCTCATTCCAGTCTTGTAGCAGAAAAGGAATTTGATATTGCTCTTCAGCCAACTCTTGAACGAGTTGACAATCCAAGTCCGCCTCGACATCCCGTTGCCGATGATGAAAGTGCATCACATGGCATTCCAGTTCCCAATTGCTACCACTGTTCTTTGGAAGCAAGCCCAATGAATTCTGAAGTTCCATGGTAGCATGCAAAAGAGCGACCGAGTCGCAGCCACCACTGACACTTAGGACAAGAATGAACTTTTGTCGTGCAGCAGAGTCTTGACTAGTCACCGTTATTTCATCCTGCTGTGATATCGATAGTTGATTTTGATTTCGCAGAGCATTCTGTTTCTTGACGAGTCCTTCCAAGGCTTCTCCTATAGAGAGAGCCAATGGCGACAAACTTGTTGCTGATGGCGAGGACGGCGATGAGCCATCTTTTGTATCAGATGTTCTTGCTGCCAAAGCTGTAGTACTGGAAAATGCACACCGAAAGTGGTTGTGAAATGATGAGCTTTGCGACCTCGAGCCCATCGCCGAGATGGAAAGACCATGGTTGTAATTCTGCATTCTTGATTGTGATCTGAACGTGCTGGAATAGGCGACGGATGACCTGATGAAACACAAGTGGCCGACATTTCTTGATGAGACTGCCGCTGACAATCCATTATTGAGCCATACCGTTGGCGATCGCAACAAGAGACACAAGAACGCTTTTGCCATCATGTCAACTGGATATGGACTTTCAATAATTCCTTTCACTGGCCAGTCGTTTTGGGATCTTGTGCTTTGCAATATGCTCCCGTGCAGCGCGTACAACAACAATAATCCCTATGAACAGTATGTTATTATTCTCTCCATTAGACCCGTAGTTTTGGTTTTCTCGACTTTATTTTGGGTTGGACTTAATGAGAAGTCAACATTGACTGTGATATGACGGAAGGCAAACAGCACCCAGGATCCAGGTGTATCATATGCTGCTGGAGAAAGGTAGGAGAAAAAGGTTGACGATGATGACGATGATGGCGATGAATGATTTTTGTTTAGATGTGAAAGGTGGCCTTGACTAATCCGAATACTTCATTTGATTGAGAAAGCCCCAAAACAACCTCGTGTTAAATTATACTGCAAGCATATAATACATTTACAAGTATTGTATTTTAATTTAATCCTTCAATAGCGATTCGAGGGTTTCCAGCGTTACTCCAGTACTAGCATCATCTCCCAATTCGTCAACAATCATGTCCGCCCCCGTGAAATCTTCGTCTACCGTGTAACTACTCTTGGTCACAATGCAAGAAATCCCAGCCCCCATGGCGGCACCCAATCCAATATGACTATCTTCCACAATAACGCATTTGGACTTGTCCAATCCCATGGTCTCTACCGCCATGTTGTACACGTCAGGAGCTGGCTTCTTTGCCTTTACCATGTCACCCGCAAAGATTTGAAACTTGGAGGCCCGTTCTGGTCCCATCAGGGTACTGACCAGGTTGCGGACCGCAAATTCACTACTGGTAGAACAGACGGCAAGCTTTAGACCGGCAGCAATGGCATCGTCAATGACCCGCAATACACCCGGACGCAAAGGAACATTGCCCTCCTTGATCATTTCATTAAAGATATCCGTCTTGCGAAGATGGAGCTCTTTCACTTTGGACTGACGATCTTCTGGAAAGTTTTCGGGCCACCCAACTTCATTCCAATGTGCCGTCATTCGTTCCTTTCCTCCTCCAGTCTCCAATAATTTTCCATATCGTTCCACATCCCATTCCGTGTCCAAGTTGTCTTGCGCAAAGACAGCATTAAAGGCAGGCCGATGGGCATCCCGTTCGGTATCCGCAAGGACTCCATCTTGATCCCAAAGAATGCCTATTTTATAAAGTATTTTATAAGTATTTTCACTCTGGTGAGATTTTTAAAAAACGACAAACAGTATACGTGGTGTCGACGAGCTATGTCGTAATGGGAAACTTACCTTCCAGTTTGGCATGAAGCGCAGTAGAAGTCCTTGTTTGTTGTTGTTGGATCCTACTGGATATTTGCGGAGCTGTCGTCGTCGATTGCGTTGGTTGTTGGAACGCAAAGGATGATCCCATGGAAGTGGCTAGTACTAGTAGTAGTACTAGTGGAAGAGCACTAAAGATGGCTGACTTCGGAACAAACATGATTTCTGTTGTATTGGTAGTAACACGGAAAACTGACTGGCTGACTGATACAGTAAATTATTGCGTTGACGGCAAGGGCTTCCAAAACTTCTTCAATGAATACTGTATGTGAAACCGACGATCATGTATATTATTGTGGTTTTTGGTTTTTGGATTTTGCCAAACGTCATCATTGAGATCTCAAATTTTGAGATCTGATCCAGATCGAATGGATCGATTAATCTTCCCGTCTGGCCGTGCCGCCAGTGTGATTATTTAAAAGAGTGTGACATGACGGACGTACAGTACCAGATACAGTGCTGCAGTGGATTGGATGTTTTCCAATGATGTACCGGTACTCTACCGGCGCGCGGTGCAACAATCGACGTTATTTTATGAAGTGGAGTGATAAATTTGGTCATGCCTTTTACACAAATGGCAAATGAGCCGTCCGATTGTAGATCCATGGCGGCTACACTCTTGTATGTAGTTCCTCATTGCAGCACTTGTACTGGTTGACCCAGCCAAACTGGTTGCTCACACCACCAGCCAGCAAGAAGGAGAGAAGGAGCCGTCATGCTGATCATGATGGTTCTGTCAGGACCAGTATGGTACTGGTACCAGGTAGGAACCAGGTGTGGTACTTAGTAACCAGCCACCGATCGTCTTGTACATGGTACTGTAGGTACTGTACCGGGCAGTTCAGATCAGTCCATGAAACTAACGGTGGCGACGCGTGTTCATTTTACTAGGTTGTTGAAGTTGTTCCTTCTGACCAGGGCAACGTTGGCCCTTCTTTCGCGCATCACAGCAGGGCCTATAGTACCTACAGTAGCTAGTTCGTACAATCACTTTTTGGGAGCTTCCAAAAGAAAATCCCGTTGTTCCTAAAGCTTTCGGTCATACCGTATGTGCGAGTACCACGGTACCAGGTACCGATGTGAAGGATAGAGCAGGCGCATTCTAAAAGGAGCGCTCTTGGTACTGTTGGTACACGCAAGAGTAAGGATCATACATATTTTTTATATGTTTGTACCGTACCAGGTACAGTAGGTAGCCCGCGTTAGCCATTTTTTGTTTCGGAGGAGTTTAGCGCCACACGGCTTGGGTTGATCACCTTCACAACAAATGGATGATGGGCAACGCATGTGATGCGAGTACCGCGTACACGGTGTACAAGGTACCAAGGTACACACACACCACGATCAGCTCTCCTCTTTTCAAACACCTCCGTTTTATTCTTCTTGCGTGAACACAACTTTTTAAATTGTTCACAGTTTCAATGGCGGAAAGAACAGCTTCACACGTGCCGTTGCACCAGTCATTACCAGTCATTTCCGCCTCCATGCAGTTTTGGGCGTAAATGAAAGTACGGAGAAGACATATCATTCCGATATATTCCAAACAGTATTCAATATTATAAAAGGAACCGATTTGAACACGCATGTAAATTCTGAGAATTCGAAGGAACCAGTGGGATTGAATTCCAAATGCGGTTTGTTAACGACGTGTCGAAATCCAATTTCCAAAGAAGCCGTCAAATGGAGGCCTCTAACTTAAATCTTTATAGCACACTTAAGTAATGGGAGTACGTCAGCCATCCACAGATGCGAAAATGCACCAGCAAGCCACCAGTTCCCATTGAGTGGGGAAGTTTGTGCCCCGCTGGGAGGAGACGAAAACTGCTGCGCTGGCTGTGATTCCAGCAGCACAATATTCTCCTGCTCCTTTGCCCATCATTCATACTTACCGTACTGTAGGTATTATAACTTGGTACAGCTTTCTCGTTTCTGTTACCATTTTCACCGCTAAACGAGCACAAAGCAATCATACTCTACTATACTCTACTCTACTATACGATACTATATTGTAACATTTCACAGTACGTACAATAACAAACAACAGAACAAAACAAAACGAAACGAAACGAAACGAAACAAAACAAAACAAAACAAAACAAACCAAAAAGAGAAGATGAAACGAGACAGCTTCTCCTCCTTCAGCTCCTCTTTGGATCAATTGAGTATATTGTCCTCCAATTCCACCACGCGAGAACGATCGCGATCGCCATCGCCTCCTCCTTCCTCACCTGGTGATCCTGTCTTGTTCTTTGCGTACGGACCCATTGCCAACGAAATCGTGAGGAAGCGACGTAACATTCGTACCACCAGTCTGCAACCTGCCTTTTTAGACGGATATCGATTGTCCTTTGACTTTGGAGGCATTGCCAATGTGGTGCGTCAACGAGGCTGGAAGGTGCATGGCGTGTTGATGACGCTGGCATCCTTGCGAGATCTCAAGAAGATGCAATCCTATGACATTCGAAGACAGGTCACACAACGACTCGTCTTTCACTATCCAAAGAATGGATTTGTGGTGGATGAAGATGCCGTAGACGAAGAAGAAAAGGAAGAACTAGAGTCTGCCATGGCGTATTTCATTGAATACCCAGAAGATGTGGAAGATTCATTAGTCATGCAACAGAATAGTGATAATCCCGCAGCTGAGAGATTGCCACAAGAGAGCTATCTCAAGCTCATTGCCGATGGAATGCAGCAGAACGGAATATGCTACGAGTACATTGATGATGCCATTTTCAACGTTCCGTACATTCCTGACCGGGATGTCTCGGATTACCAAACCTTCCAACGGGCTCCAAAAGTGGCCAAGATTTCATTCTTGACCTATCAAAACTTGTGTGCCAAGGCCAATGGCGAGATTTACTTTGTTCTCGGCACTTCCGTCTTCCTGTTGGGCTCTCACGATCCCAACAATCCATTGGCCAAATGGCTCGAGGAACATGGTCATGGAAAGGACGATGTTACCTTTTTTGTTCAAATTATTCTCATGAATACATCCTTGGACTTTTGCAAGAGACGGTCCGAGGTGACACCAAGTCACATCGCCTGGGCCGAAAATCAATTGGTGGAAACCATTCAACAGCATGGACTCGAGGCTCAAAAGGTCTTTGAATTCATTGAGAACGATGAAGAATCCGAAGATGGTCCTTCCAAATTCTTCACCGTCGACAAGGAATATATTGTAAGACCCTCTGCTTTGGAGGATGGTGGACACTGTTCGGAAGATACCATGGCCACCGCCAATAGTACCAGTCTTGGTATGGATGGTTTTGCCACAAATGTCATCAGCAGCCCCACTGGAACCAAGAAACGCTTCAAGGTTCCAGTCTTTTTCAAGCGCATGGTCAAGGTGAATAACCGACGATGAATGAAGGAAACATGTATACATTCATAGTGATGATGATGATGATGATGATTCACACACACACAAGAATTACACTGTTTCCATCTTTGAACGAGAAGAGCAAGATCTATTGGTTCTACTATTACCACTAGCTACAGCACTACCAATCATGATCATTCCACGGCATGCAGCCGAGTGAACTCTACACTCCTGCCGACGTCTGTCTTGTATCGAGAATCGCAATCAATGGATATTTCATTCATTCATTCATTCATCCTGCTCATCTGCACGAAAAACAACAACATTCCCATGTTGAGAGAACACAACCACAACCAGTAATTACAGTGATGGACACAATCCGAGTCAGTCATTGACTTTTGGATCTGTACCAGTAGGTATTCCAAATATAAAACAATACAAGATATATATTATAACAATAATGTAATAGTATTTACTATTCAACAGGAATATGAAAATAGTAAATTCAAAATGTTTCAAAATTCAAAATTCTTCTCCATTCGCATTCGAGTATCATCCACCTCCTCAAGAGCAGGTCTTTTATTATTGAATATAACAACGCACCTAGCTTATATTATAGAACATTTATTGCTATGTTACATTCAAAAATAGGTATCAATTCATTTTTTCTCTCTCCTGTGTTCAATTCAAATAATATCCACCTCCACACCAGCAGCAGGCATCAAACGCAGTAAAGCCATTGCTGTCGGTAAAGAAGTCATCATCAAACTCGGGACACTGCAAGATTGGATACAATCCGGCGTATCTTTCACACGTGTTCAAGTCACTATCCTGAAAACTTTCATAATCCTGACATTGCCGTCCAGGATTGTACTGCTGGAGTGCAAGGAGTGCTCCATTGTCATTATTATTATCATTATCATCATTTGGAGGACAAGCATCTGTAACAATCGACGTCTTGGATTGAAACATGGTAATGTAGGTTCCCAAATACTCCCCCGGCAATGCCACCAAAATGTGCCCAAAATCATCGCATCCACGAAACAACCGATCTAGTTGTGCCAATTCCAAAATGGCAATACACCTTCCACTGCAGTCATCGTAGTCTGCTAGAGCGTAAGCCACAATGGGATTGGTCCCAGTACAAGGAACCCGCATTCTTGGATTGAAGGGATCCACCAGAAGTTCGAGGGGATCATCATTTAGTATTGTGTTGGCTACAAGGTCTTCCACGCAAATATTGTCATTGTTGTTGCTGTTGCTGTCCTGCTCGGTGGTGGGGCTTGCCGTTGGGGTTCTGGTTGGATTATTGGTTGGACTCTTGGTTGGATTATTGGTTGGACTTCTCGTAGGGTTCTTGGTGACAACCTTTGTGGGACTAGTCGATGGAAGCATGCTTGGACTGGCAGAAGGTTTGCGGGTTGCCAAAGTAGCGGTTGGAACAAGAGACGGTGATCCAGATGGCGAATCTGTCGGCCCGAAGGATAAGGAGCTATTCGAGAAGGAGGGCATTAAGGAAGGAGACCCGGTCGGAAGTGCGGTCAGCTCATCATAATTCCTCGTAATGCTCTGCACAACAATGTCTTCAAATGCTGGCTCCGACGCCACAAGCTTTTGGACCGAGTCTTTGACAATGTTAGTAATAGTTTGAACAATCATATCGCCATTCTCATTTCCCCTGAGGAAGGTATCCATGATAGCCTCCATTTCGTAGCAGGTCTGGTTCTGCTGTTGGCCCTCAGAACAACGGTTCAATGTGGAACGCACTGCTTTCACGATGGCATTCCCAACGAGATGGCGAAGTCTCCCATTGCCATTCCCTTGGCGGCTTTGCAGTCTGCGGCGACGGTTTCCACTAATAGGAGGGCAACCCGCCAACTCTAAAATAAGAATCTCTTGAATCATCTTCTCCAAGGTTGCTGCCACCTCTGTAGCATTCGAATCTCCCGTCACTTGGACATTTACGGTTACCTTGCACGGCCACGGTATCATTCCCTCTTGGCCAGTCACTTGCGATCCATTCAATATGGCGAGACAGTCTTCTTCGGATGGTGGATCATAGTTTCGATCGGTGGGATCCGTGCTTGGGGTTGTGCTTGGACTCGTGCTGGGAGTTGCCGTCGGGTTGGGTGTGGACCCTACGGACGGTTGGTTCGATGGAAGAGCGGCAGCTGCAGAAATTTCCTGTTTGACTCTTGTCACAAAGTAGGCTGTACAACTCACAGCAATTAACAAGACCACAACACCAACAATGATAAAGAGCGTCTTGAATCTATTTTCCGATTCCGTGCCATCATCATCATCGTCATCATCATCGGAACTATCGTCAGAATCATTATCATCGCTGTCTCCTTTATCTGGTTGCGCAATGGCCACCAATACTGCATTTGGTGCTGGATTGTTGCTGGCCATATCCTTCTTGAGGCGTTTCTTTTCCTCTTCCAATTTCTGTTTACGCCTTCGTTCTCGTTTTTCGTCTGCTTCGTAGTCTTCGACGGTTTGGACATTCATGGCCATGGCTTCCTTGGGAGTCAATTCATCAATTTCTTCTTGGGTCAGGAGCGGACCATTCTGCACCATACTTCGAGTCATGTTGTTCGTCGTATCACCACGTCTAGGTGCTGCCCCGTAGGCTCGTCCCACAGCGGCCACAGCACCGATTTGAGCGGGCGGACCATGTTTTGGCTTGGTAGGACGATTCTGACCAGCACGGCTTCTGGACCCTGACGATTCATTTCTTGCTAATGTCGTTGTTGTTGTTGCTGTTGTGGCTGGCACAGTTTGCACATTGGCCGCATTCAACTCGTCTCCAATCATCATGGCCGAACCTTCCGCCATCATTTCTTGAGACGAACCTCTCATTCCAGTAGTATTATTCTGAGCTCGGCGTTGTTCTCTTAATTCTTGTTTTCGTTGGGCATCGGCATCATCCGCTTCATTCCGACGGCTTCCATGCTTTCGTCGTCTTCCACGTGAGGCTCGATGGTTGCGGCCATTATTATTATTATTATTATTATTACTATTATTACTACGGTGGCTTCGATGCGAAGAACTTGACGTTCGATGATGAGTGTCATCACTTTCGTCAACCTCACCAGCTTCGTTGACTCGTTTTGTCATGATGACCGAATAGTCTCGATTGGTTTGGTGGAGGAGGTACTGTGGCTGTGTTTGCTATAATATATATGGGACTGTAGAGGCACAATAAGGATGTGTGCGTACTGCGGTATACCGTATATGTGTGCTGTATAGAAATCTTTGGGAGTATATAGTATACGAGCAGGTTTTACGACAGTGCGGATATACGCGGTCTTTTATTTTCAATATTTTTCAAACAATGAAAGCGAGGTGTGGTAGCCGGGAAAGGCAGGCTCCCTCGAAGCAATAAGTAAGAAATGTCAAAAAAACATTGGGACATGCGTTTTCGATAGAGAAAGGTGAAAGCTTGAGAATAAAATACCAAAAGGACGAAAAAAAAGAGTTTGTTATGAAAAAAAGACAACAACACCTATTAATAAATGTATTTTAGTAACAAATAAAATGCAAAAACAAAAATTGCCGCAGAGAGAGGAGATGAGCAATGGGACCCTTCATCTGATGATGTCCAATTTGTGCGCTCTTTGGACAAGGCAAACTGGAAGAATCAGAAACGATGTTTGCGAAAGCTTTGCAGGTTCACAACGAAGAAATCGGTGAAGACGATTATACCAAGGCATGCATTCTTTTCGGCCTAGGGAATGTTATTTGCGAACGAGGTTATTTCAAGGAAGCCATGGAGAACTGAGAGAGCGCCCGCCGGATATACCTTGCCGTCGTAGAAGAAGAAGATGACTTGACCGCAGAAATATACTAAAAAATTGCTTACATATTTAGTCAACAAGAAGACTTGGAGCAATCCGAATACTTTCATCGAAAAGCTCTTAACCTCCGACTAGTTGTACAGCCAGAAAACCTTGGTGCATTGGCCAAATGCTACTGCACAGCTCCTTAGGGAAATCTTTGGGGATGCAGGAAAAAACTGCAGAATCCATAAAGCTCTTCAAAAAAGCACTTGCGTCGAAGCTCGAAGTCTACGGCGACTATCATCCGGAGGTTGCGCACGAGTACGACAGAATTGCAAATCTTTTGCTCAGGCTGGGAAAAATAGAGGAGTCCAATACAATGTTTGCGAAAGCGCTGGAAGTAAATAGTCGATCGGAAGAACCTGATCCTTTATTGGTTGTAGCGGTTACGAAAACCAAGCACTCAGATTGACGAACCTTGGTGAGTTCAAGGAAGCAATGGATCTGTTCCAAAAAGTATTGACGATTCTACGTGACGATGTCTGTGGCGGCAGGTATCCAGAAACTGCGGCGGCTTACCACAATGTCGCAAAAACCCATCTTGCAATAGGCAGGTTAGATGAAGCTATTGCTACCAATACGAAATCCCTCAAGATTCTACGGAGAACGCGTGGTGATGATCATTCTGAAACAAAAAACGTCATGGAACTTCACCGTCAGTGGCTGAAACTGCTTTTGTGCGATCGAGACTAGACTTTTGGACAGCCTTCGCTCCTGGTTGTTTAGTACTTTCTGGTACAGATATGCAGCAGTTGTAGTGCTGGTGCTTGATGAGATGGCGATCCTCGTTGTGACCATGTGCTTTCCCCAAGACACTCCAGCTCTATTCTTAAAAATAACCAACAGTGCAGGGATTGTTTCGAGAAGCAACATTCTGTCCACTCTAGCCATGGTGGGCATGGTTGTCAGCTCACATAGTCAGATGAAAACCCTTGAATGACATACATTCGTCACCATATGTTGGAATCAACATTCAACACCTTTCATCGAGAGTAGTTGTCGACAAGAACTCGGCTCTGCTTTCTTTATTCATACATTGCTACATACATATGTTGGCTCGTACCGGTGCTGTATTGGTGCTGGAGGAGGCTGCATGCTTTCTCCAAGAATAGCCCACCTCTTGAATCAGCTCATGCAGAATACCTTCTACCTCACTAGAACTTTACCCTGCAATTATCGAGCCCAACATTGCAAAGCTTGTGTCGATACATTCCGTCCACTCATGATCCCGGCTCGTGCTGCCTCCAAAGATGAAAATGAAACTTGTTGACTCACCCAAGCATTCGTTGTCAATATGCTGTTGGAGTTGACTTTCAACAGCTTTCAGTGTTTCATCTATAAGTAATGCCTCTTTGAAGTCGACGACAGTGCCTACATGGTACAGTAGTATATGGTAGGCCCGCAATGTAATAATAAGTCTCATAATTCCCGCTATGGGATCTATGTGTGGCATCATACCGTAAGTCTCAGAATTCCCGCCACGGGATCTATGAGACTGGTCTTCCGGGTCATGGTACCTCACGCACTCGCATCTATCATCGCATTTGCGATGCGTAATATATCGCAAGCACATGCATTATCAGCATCTATAGCTCTAATACCGCGCACTGTACCGAACTCTATCGTAGCAACAAGGTATTATTGATCGTCTCCTACAGTATATTCCAACGAATAAAAAACCGTTTCTATTCATCAATCCTATTATCATCAGCCCGAGACTAATTATTGTGATTGAGATGCAGCTGCGAAAAGTGCTTCTTTTCTGTTATTTCCTTGCGTCATCCGCCGAGATTGCCAATGGTTTTTTCCTACAGGCTCGTCGAGCTCGCAAGGCTGCCAAGAATGTTCAAGATATCATTACATCACGTCGAACCATCAATGAGTTTGAAGAATCGTTACCAACAGAATGGGAAGATGTAATTACCAAGGGAATTGAGGCAGCCTGTCAGGCCCCCAATCACAAACGGACCGAACCTTGGAGATTCCATCTGTTGGGCCAAGAATCCGTTCGAAACGTTTGCGAGCTAAATGCGAAACTTGTCGCCGAAAAGAAGGGCCAAGCAGCTGGAGATGCCAAATTGAAGCGATGGTTGGCAATGCCAGGATGGATGGTTGTGACATGTCTCAAACAAGAGGGCGATGGGCCTGTCACTATGGAGGATCCAATGGGCCTGGCACGCGAAGACTACGCCGCGTGCTGCTGTGCCGTTCAAAATTTCTGTTTGTCCCTTCACGCCCATGGAATGGGAACGAAGTGGACCACTGGTCCGGTCAACTTTGATGATGAGTTTTCCAAAGCCGTAGGTCTGTCGTCTGATGAATTTGTTGTTGGTACAATTTGGTTTGGACGACCTGTCTCGCAACCGATGGCTCCTACAAAGAAGAAATCAATGGATGACATATTGATTCGCCACAGCTAGATGATGATCTCGAGAACCGCTGAAGGCTGCGTTATTGGTCTTTCAAAACATGAGTCACAAGTTACAATTGATTTTGGACACCATGCGGTCACACTCGGCTACGCGGCGCTTTGAAGAAACGAAATGCCCGTCGACTATTGGAATCTTCCTGACTATATTAAAAGTCAATACTCAAATTTACTGTGGGCTCACTTCATGATGTCTACCATATTATATATTACTGTACCTGGTAACGATATCTGGAGAAATGCACAATACGATCATGGGCCATATATATTTATATATATGCCCAAGGCGTACCGTTGCAGTACTGTAGGGGATAAAGAGCATCCCCACGGCGACGTTATACTACCGGTCGATCATTACTTTTATCTCGAACCCAAACTCGCAAAGATTACTTCGCTAGCATTTTATGTTCACCCGAGACATGAGGCGCTGACGCTTGCCTAGCAACCTAACAAGATGAAAGAGAAGCTGGTGGACACAAAGTAGGCCATTCTTCAACATTTTAAAATTGATTGTTTGTTTATCCTTGCAGTTCTCCATCTATTACAATACCAATGTATCATTTAATTTCAACGAAATTGGTATGCAGATGAGATACTGCTGTAGTCATCCACAAAGTTATTTCACATCATACTGTACCGGTACACCGTAGTGGTACCGGTAGCAGGTACGGCATCCGACATCACCGCCAGTGGCTGGGAGACCTTTGGAGGAAAGAATAATAGGTATATAGGCTGACGGCATCAAGTCTTTGGTCCTAAAATCGCTGTCAACTGATTCTAAGAGCCTCTTGTGTGGTTCTAACTAATCCTTAGACAAAATTTAATCTATTCTAATACTAATACTTTATGATACGCCGAGAGATTTAATTGCAAACGACCGACTTTCTCTCTCTCTCTCGGGCAACCAATTACTACGCCGAGACTACGTGGAAATCAGCCTTCCCATTGCAATCACCGTTTCCATTGCTCCGTTCCATGTCTGCATTCTCAAGATCCATTTGGTCACTGTCTTCCTTGTGTTCCTTGGGCACAGCAATGAAGGAAGCATCTGGAGACGAGGGTTGCGACTGACTACCGAGATGCTTCACTTGATGGAATTTTTCCATGCACACTGAAAACTTATTCTGGTCAATATGCAGGCATTGGACAAATTCACCGTCCCAAGCAATATCATCGTACTTGTACGACTGGAGTGCTTGAAAGGTCCCCGAAACTTGGGGATCAATGCCTTCCACCACAACAATAATTTCGGCCATGTTCTGACTCATGTATTGTTGGACATCGTCCAGCGTCACGGTAGGAATGTGAATGGGAACCTCCAAACTACGATGGGATGTTTCCACTGGGTACTCATCGTGCTCCTCCACCATTTTTTGATATGCCACATGCTTTCGGAATCGTTCATAGGTTCCATAGGCTTCTCCACAAACGGGACAAATGATCTCATCCCGATTGCCCGTGGCCGAATCAATGGCCCGAAAGGGCATTCCATGGGACTTGGCCAGAAAGGGTGGCTTGTTGAATTTGGAAGGCGCCAGAGGACTGTGATGATCCACATGGTGGATGATTTCAGTGGGCAGACTGGTATACAACATGCTGCCCATGTCGTCGTCCGGGTGCATGATCCGGAGCACGTGCAATTTGAGATTCTTGTCAATCATGTACATGCGCACATGGGCTTCCACCACTGGATAGGCCGAATCAATGTCGTAGCATCGAACGTTCACACAGACACCCGAATTCCGATAGACTTCATCGGCATCGTGGTGGCTTGACGCGTACTCATCTCCTTCGTCGGAAATGACCTTGTCATTGGTAAAATCACGAACATTGACACACAGCTTGTCGGCAAAGACCACTTGAATGGATCGATTCTCGCAATTCGCCATTTTGGTAAAGAAAAAGGCCAGCAAGAACGCATTGAACATCATGCTCCAAGTCATTTGGGCATAGATTGCTATTTGGACGGATGGACAATTGTTTTGAAAGAATCCATTGTTGCCGCCGGGAAGACCATCTATGTATACAGTTTCATTGTCAAAGGAACAAAACCAACGAATGGAATGGTTAGATGGATTCATTCACCTACCGGTATTGGTATCTCGAAAACTACAAAACAGCAACAGCAACAGCAACAATGCACAGTACTTACATCCAACTGTTGTGCATGTCTCCAAGGAAAAGGCAAAGGAAGTTCCGAATCTAATGGGAGTGCCAGGGTCTCCCAATCCACAATCATATTCCAGGTACTTTTCATCCACTTTTACATAGACAACAGCAAAAATGAGAATCACCGCGGTCCAAACCACCAACAGCAAGGTGACACTCTTCACTGAGTGTAGTCGCAAGAAGACATGAAACCAATCTTTAACCAATAGCTTGGACACGGCAGATTGAGTATTTACATTCTTCGCCGCAATTTGATTCCTGGATTGATGATACGGAAAGTTTCGGTCTACCAATCGTGGTAAAAATACTTGGCTAAAGTGTAAATGGCTCTTGGCACTACGCTGCCTTTGGCTCTGATGCTTCACTTGCTGTCCAAGCCGCCTTCTGAGACTGCCGGCAGACGAGGACCGACCAGAATTGATAACATACGGGTCTTGTTCCATCATATAAAATATATACCGGTATGATACTGTCAGGTGATGTGTGTACTTCCTGAAGTGAACGGAACCTTTAGCGTGGGTCTTCTGTTCTTGCTGGATGCTTGACGATAAGGAAGAATGAAAGACTTCAGGTATGTACAACCTATACAGACAGCACTGCCTTCGTGGTCTGTATACTGTATGCTCCAGCCAATACGCTCAACAGTAGAACGCGGAAAAGGTTATTACTGTCAACCACCGGAAGTTCCCACGCCACGAATTTCAAAAAATCATCGGACTTTTTCGATCGCTTGAACGACCCATTCGACTAACCCAAAGTCTTTTGATTGGGCCACATCAATCGGAGGGGTCACAAATCTTCAGTAGTTTTCAAGTTCAATAAAATGATGACACATCATATTATGGACATTCATCAATCTGAAATCCAGTACAGACACCATTAGTATTGGTATTAATCAATCAATCAGATGAAACAGGCGCTGCTTGTGTTCCACGTTTCGGTATGCCTCATAGTATCCAGTTTGCCCGTCACCGCCCATGCTTTTGTGCAGGGCTTGCATAATTGTAATTCACCGTCACTATCCTTCAGGAACAAGAAGAATAAACATCATCAGGCACATCAGAAGGCCTTGTCGGCAACATCTTCCCAAACAATGATAGTGGATCAACTACTGGAGGAAATCTCCAAATCAGACGACACCAAGGAGAATGAACTAAATGCCAAGAACAGCCAGTCCCAAATTGTCAAGCTTGTGGACGATCTCGTCGAATGGAAACCACCTGAGTCTTCTGATTCATCACCATCCGCTGCTAGTAGTAGTACGGAACCCAAGAATAATGAATCCGAAGACCAAGAGGAGAATTTTGACGAATTGATCGGTTACTACAATGTTTCCTACACGTTGACCTCCAAACCCAAGGAAAATCCCGTCGGTGGCAAGTGGACTCGATCCCAACGATTGTTAAAGATTCAGCGAACGATGCAACATGTCTTGCCATTGTCGTCATCGTCGTCGACATCGTCGTCAGCAAAAGGAGCAGCAGTGGCACAAGTTATCAATGCCATATTTTTGGAATGTTTTTGGGGGCTGTTGCCAATTTGGATTGTTCTACGAGGGGATGCTGTGCCATTGAACAAGATACCGAAAGAAGAACCATCCACCAAAGCGACGACAAATAAGGGCAAAAAGAAGAAATCGCCACCATCCCTATTGCCAGGTTTGTCTCCGAGAACGGTCCGAGCCTACTTTGATTCGCCTCGATTTGCTATTGGCAAGTTTGTCTTTTCCTTTGGTCCTACCTCGAGTGTGGTATTGGATACTCCCTACATTGACGACAGAATTCGGCTTGGAGTGGGTGGTACCTCTGGCACCAAGTTTGTCTTTTCACGAATAAAGGATGAGCAGGACAACGAAGCAGTCGATGGTTGGAAATGGGTATTGGAAAAAGAGTCTACCATTACCAAGACCAAGGCTAGCTATGGACTCTTGTGGACAAGTCTACTTAGCGGATTTGCCTACAAATCCTTGCGATTTGGAATGGGCAAGATTGTGGCAAGCACTGTCTTCTTAGCGAGTTTGGTATCCCTGGGATTGGTCATGGCATCCACGGGTGGCATTGAAACCAACAGTGATAATTATACACCGGGAGTGGCTGAAGCAGGAGGAGGAGGAGGAAAGTAGCACTGGTAGAGAAGACATGATATTCATTCTTCTGTCTAAGCCACCGAAGCTCTCAATCCTTCAGATACGCTACTGACTTTTTACTGTCATTATCCTGCTGGGGTAATGCTGACAGGCGTTTACTTCCAGATTGGATGTTATTGCGGGCCAATCCACCGATTGTAACGCATGGTACTGATAGCTATAGTACCATCAAGGCACCACCATCCACATGGTCTTGGCAACCCTGTTTGGATTGCCCCGATAGATTGGTATGAGAAGCAACAAGAAAGCCTGGTAGAGATGTAGATAAACCTTATTATTATTAATACTGGATATATTGTCGCTCTCGATTCCGCGTTTGTATGAATTCAATATTATATGATGTATAGCATCATGAAGATCAACAGTTTAGTCACGGATGAAAAGTTTGAGTCACGAGTGTTTGCTTCCCGCCAAAAATTGGAACGCATCATCATCATCATCATCTCAATATATCTATTGTAAAATCAGTTGTTGATTGCACTTTCATTCATCTTACAGCTGCATCAAAGAGGACCTATTTATACACAACACAATCATTATGCCACAAAACCTGGATCAGGAAACCCGGAATAGCATCTTCTGGGTCAGCGTAATCATTGATTCATCCCTGGTGGTCGCTAATCTTGTCATCATAACTCGAAAAATCCCCAAGGCACAACGCAAGGATGTATCCTTGTTACTGTGGGGTTGTCTCAAGACATTGGTAATCATGGGAATACTATCCCACGTGTGCACCGAAGCGCTGATTCAGTTTGGAACGAATGCTACGCCAGCAGGAGTGGACGAGGACCACTATCATGTCAATACGAGCGACCTTTCATCCTCCATCAACTTTTGCGAGAATGATTTTGTGCACTCACGGCATGTCGCCGAACCATCCAATTCGATTTCATCCTTGACAACCTATTGTCCATTGGCACTCTTGGGACTACATTTGAGACCCCATTCACTATTACTGAAACCAGATGTGGGGAAGTTACGATTCACATTGGCTTATCTTTCACTCTTCGCAATCGGATTGGGAAGCTTTTGGCTGCACTCTCAGTTGACGGCGGTATCTCAAGGGGGTGACGAACTACCCATTCTTTGGTATCTCGGTATTGCGACCTTCATAGTGGTGGATTGCTTATTGGACATTCGAGCAACACCAGGAGCCAAGAAACATCGCACCAGTCTCTGGCTGGTTGGATTCAGCACCATTTCATCGGCGGTTGCCACATTGACTTACATTTTCAATCGCGAAGATTTTTTCTTTTTTCATATGATATTCACGACTTACCTCATTCTGATCTTGTTGGGAGAAGGAATTCTTACTTTTTCAGACTTTTCAAAATATGGAGACTCGGGTTCCTTTCGAGAAAAAGTGTTACTCCCATTGGTCAGTTGCAACATTTGGGTCTATCTTTCGGCATCGTTTCTCTGGGTTTCCGAAATGTTGTTTTGTCATGATGCTACTACGGACTTTCGGTGGGGTGCAACTTTGGCTCCATGGATCTTTGATCGAGCCATTCATGCTGGATGGCATTGTACAAGTGCCTTGTTAGTATTTATGACCATCCAGATTCTCTTGTCAGTTTGGGGATTTCAACAAGGCTGGGGCGAACCTCAATTGCGATGGTTTGGAGCACCGTACGTGTACTTTGAGAAGAAGACTAGACAAGCTTAGATACCGATTATTTTCCAGTGTTTCAATTGCGGTTGGGCGGGTGGCCTGTCCAGCTGGAGCACGAAATGACACCGCAACTGGACCTACTTGTGTTCTATCTCTTTCTATCATACAAAGCATCACTAGTACTATCATACAAAGCATCATTAGTAATAAATTGTACCTATGCATCTGCCACATAGTCGCACCTCTGTTGGTGGTATTCAATCAAGTATTCCACTCGCGTTTTGCCTTGATCGTTGGTTCCTACCGTGTTCAAAGGATCCGCCGTGACCATTTGAACGGACGGGCGCCGCGATACCACCTCATACCATTCCAATAGAAAGGACAAGGATTCGGGAATAGAGGTTCCTCCAAAACTGGCAAGAATGATATTAATATGTTCCACAAAGGGGAAGATACTCACGTCCGCCAAAGTGAATTGAGATCCGCAGAGATAAGGTCCTGGGAACTTTTGCAAGTCCCTGTCAATCATACCAAGTAAGTCAAAGAGTTCTTGGGCCAATTGGGGGCGGGCATCATCATCGTCACTATCCATCAAATTGTAAAAGACATCTGATATCCTGGCATGACGCTTCAGAAATGTCTTCATGTTGAAGGTATCAATGGGTCTGGATGGCAAAAGTGATGGAATGGAATGATACAGTGGATGCCGAATGGCCTTGTCAATATATTCCGAAACTCGAATGCTATCCGCAAAAATGTTTCCATTGTGCACCAACACGGGAGACGTCTTTTGGTTAATCGAATTGAGCAATTGCAATCCGGGATCACCCGCGTTGATGTTGCAGACGGGAATGACGTGAAATCCAGTGGGATGCAAGGGATCCGCTTCCTTTTCCAATAGGGTAATCCAGACTCGCGCCGTGAAGGGATCGGCGTCGTCCAAAAACAATGTTGGTTTGGATGGATCAATTTGTAATTGTGGTGCTTCTCGTGTTTCAGATTTGGTTTCTTCCACTCCGCCATCTTGTTCTTGCTCGGTTTCACGAAGTTGTGGCAGATGGGCTATTCCATGGACCGACCGCGGTTTATTCATTTCTTCCTGTTGCAACATTCGGAAAGTTGCTTGCATAGTCTCCAAAGCTACGGGGAGCACTTGTCCGTTGGTGTCCTCGTCGTGCTGGAATCGATCCACTTCCCATTCCATGCTACTCTCGACCAATGGATAGAGATCCTTCCATCCATGAGCAGTGAATTCATCCAGTAGAAAGCAAACTTCATTAGCCTTGTCCTTGTGTTCTTGGATAAGCGTCGCCAATTCCGCTTCTGACTTTTCGAGATGCGGATGAATCTGTTGTGAGACAAATTCTAAATTCCAAGAGTCGGCATTCCTGGCTCGTTTGCGCAATCGAGCCGTCTTGGTATTGCAATGAAAATACCTTCGTTCTAGTTCTTGATATTCCTTTTGTTTCTGATCGACTTGTACCATGCAAGCTTCCAACCAATCCTCGGCATGCCTCAAAATCTCTCGTATGTACTTTTCATTTTGGACAGTAGTGAAATCTTCTTCCACGGCGACTTGTTGGGGATTCAAGACCGTAGTTTCCTGTCCATGATTGGCCGCAGTTCCCACCACGCCCTTGAGGGGAGTATCATCCGCCATGTCGGCGAGACACGAAAAGAACTATATAGGTGGTAAACAGGATAGCAATAAGTTAGGACCAAATGTTAAATCTGCTGGTGGTTTCCACAGGAACAACTATATACATACCGTTCGGTGAGCTTGTTGCAATTCTAGAGTGGACTGTACATGAATTTCCGCTGCCTGTACTAGACTCTTCAAGTGTTGTTTCATGCTCTCAAAAGCTTTGACCTTGAAGGACACTTCGGATCCCCGACTGTGATTGACGGGAATCATGTCGGTTTCTTGTGCCAGTATCAATCGAGAGGAGACTCGATTGTTTTTGTTCAATCCTGGATGCGGCTCATTGACCACGGACGCAGTAATACTACCTGTCTCGGTACTACGAGTGTCGGCTTGGGAGTTGCTGGCAATATATTGCGAACGAAGCGCTAGATGACGCGGCAAGAGGATGCCCCGATTATCTTCGGATACCTTTTCTTCTTCACCATGATCTGCGATTCGAAGCTGAGCACCGGCATCAGGTGCTTCTATTCCTTCATCTGAATAAAATCGAAACGAACCAGTTTGGTGGTCGTCCGGAATTGTTGGCATATCATCAGTACTTTTTGCCTCATCCGTAGTAGTTGCAGTCCCGTTTTCAGTAGAATGGTTGGTGTCAGCAGCCAAAGGTTCTTGTTGTGGATTATCCTCGTTATTTAGGCTGTCGTTTCCATCCGCAGCTAATGCAGAGATTTTTCTTTCAAACTGATTCGTTTCAACGGATGCTGGAATTGATCTGTCTTGGTCGTCACCATCATGAGATACTTCATCATCGTCATCCGCCATTCCTGAAAATGGCAAACAATCCTCAGTTTCGGATACTACTTTGGATTCGTCAGTCTTTTGGTTGTTTTCATCCCCGTTCTTGGAAGGTGGTTGTTGAGAGCTGGAGTTCATGTTTGATCTTTAAATAGAAGCAGAATCAATGGGATTGTCTACGATATATACAATACGTGGAAAATCAATATTTACTCCCAAGAATTGTATGCTAAATTTCTATTTCCCGGCCGTTCCTGTGATGCCGAAGAAGTCGATCAAGTCGACCATGTTCCCGATAAAGGACCAAGGCGACTACTATACAGGGCTGGCTGGTGGCTTGTTTTAGTGCTGGCGGAAGGAGAGTCCTTCCTTTGTTCTTTTCGCTGTTCTCTAACTAAGTGTGTTTTTAAAGAATGAGACCCTATCTACACATCACTTATGATCACAAGAAATTGACCGGTTCCGCTCAACTTTTTGATGAAATGCCTAAATGTCGATCGTGCGAGGATCTTATTGTTTTCCTGTCAACTTATTGCGATAAAATAAGTTCGATTTCCAAAACACGATCATAAGTTCAGCATGCGGTACTGGATACTTCAACAAAAGCGAACTTCTGCTCGTTGGATTCGTATACTAGAAAGGGTAACATTTTGCACCTTATTCATCTCTTCTCTCGCATCTAACTAAGGCTTCCCATATCCAGGCAGAGCAAGAGCCAAGGCGCGTTCTCACCTGTGAATCATCAATAACAGTTGAACACAACCTGAAATAGGCACAATGGCAGTCAACCGACTTGAGGATGACTCCTCCTCGGTTCGTGGCGGCGTAAAGATTGAAGTGAGAGAATGGGAATTGGATGAGAACAGTACAACCTACGACAGGTTAGTCGCTGCACCATCGGATGCAACCATGGAGTCCCAATGGATCCTCTTTCTGACCATATTGGTGCTGTCGATAGTCTTGATGCTCTTTGTCTTTATCAGCATGCTCCGTGACAAAAAGACGAGACGAAACTCCTTCAACACCTATATTCTGTTTCTAATGGGGCCGGACATTTTCTTCAATTTCTGCTGCATTTTATCCTGTGGCTTGAATGTCCATCTCGGACGCTATTTTTCGGTGGACGCGTGTGTTTTTCAGTCCTTGTATTGCATTTTTGCTATCACTTCCTCGGCTTGGATCAATGCCATTGTGGTTTATCAACTGCATCGAATGTTGTGGTGTTCCCGCAAGGCCATTCGGTACCATCCACCTACGAGACGTCACGTCGCCATTCAATCTTGCGCTGTGTACGTCTATTCCATATTCATGGCCACCTGGTCCAATTGGGGCGAAGATGAATCGTGGTGGCCCATTCGCAACAATGTCTACAGCGGTGTATTTTGCCTGCCAATGCCCTTTGACACAGAAAGCACAATGTTCTTTTACCTATTGTATGCTCCATTGGTCTTTGTGCTGCCATTGTTGTACATTTGCTATGTAGTAGTGGACATGCTCTACCATAATTTGCTGCCGGATCAGAATCAACGCAAGACGCTCATGGTCTTTTTGCGATTGCTGTTGGTGTATTTTGTCATGTGGGTCCCCGCCTTGGGATTGGTGTTTGTGGGAAGCAATTACTTGTCGACCTGGTATGTGGTAATTGGCGGAGCCTGGGCCCATCTGCAAGGGGCCGTCTCGGCGGTCATTTGTTGGTTCAAACCCGATATTCAAAGGGCCTGTCATGAGTTCTTTTGGGATTGCTGTAAATATGTCGATTGTTGTTATTGTTGTACCAATAAACCAATGTTGCAAAACAAGGAAACGAGCCACCAAGACACGGAAGAGATGCCCTCCTACTCGTCCCGGGAAGAGCCTGTACTGGAAGACTACGACGGTGTACTGGAAGATGGCGACGATGATTCTGACATTCAGTACCAAATTCAAAAATCTTGTGAACTCTTTTTGGGACTCTCGGATGACGAGGATGATTTGGTTGTGCAAGGTAACAGACATGAGGAATCGCCAACGAAGAGAGGTAGAAGTAGGAGAGGCAGTGGGAAGAGTCGAAGTGGGTCACCATACGAATCATCCATGGGCCTTGAGCCAGAGGAATGGCATACAATTACATCAGGGGAACTAGTCATGATGGAGGGATCTTTCGCCGAGTCGGTATGAGGAATACAGGAATACACAAACTCGATCCATTCCTATCTACATCAGTAGCATGGTCTCTGTTTTCGAAACGCAGCATCGAGCCACGAAAACAGGGTTCGGAGATGAATCGTCCTTGGCATGAGACGCATCTGCTTATATCTGCACCAAAACATCTTGACTGCGACAGCATACCCTTTTGGAACAACCGCAAAGACGGTTGGCCATATATACTACGATACTATAAATATATACATCTTCATCTCTGCCTACATGGGCGCAACGTGACAATGTGGCTACCAGTGTCCACAGTTCTTGGTTACGCTCTCAAAAATGGCCCGTTGGATCATCCTAGAGCATAGTGCCACTATTACGCGATATCTATGATACATAATTGATCTTGAATATGATTATCTATGCCAAACATGATAACCTAATTTGTTATTGGCTCTATGTGATGCTCTGATTATATATCTAACTCCCAACCCCCAATGCATCTTGTATTTTGTTTTGTTTTTTTAAGGAGTAATAGTGGATTCCAACTTTTGAATGGAAGCTGCTGCCGATTGTGCCAACCGTTGTCGCAATTTTAAGTTGTGATCCTTCAGTTGCTGGTTCCGTTGAGAGGCCTCGACAATTCGCTTTTGTCCCAAGAATTTATTTTTCTCACTGGACAACTTCTTGGCTGCTTGAAGGATACTTTCGGGAGTTGTAGCATTTGACATGGTTTGGAAATCAAATAGTTTGATCGTGCCTGGAACTTGTTGTTGAGTCGATTGAATCTCTGTTGTTGTACCAAAGGAAATAGGTGACGGAGTGACCATTGCTGTATCGGACCGATTCGTCTTGGAAAAGTTCAAGGGAGGCGACGAAGCAGTAGTAGAACTATTGCTGCTAATCATTTGTTGAATGGGCGACTTGACATTCTCCACCATTTTCTGTAATTTAGCCTTGTGCTTTTGAAGTTCCCTTTGTCGTTCCCGAACGGCCGTGTTGCGTTTGACATTTCGTTGGGTCCGAACGGCTTGGGTCGTTTCATTCAGCTTCATGCAATCTCTGGATGTCACATCCGACAATCGTTTCTTGTAGGACTTTTGGTGTTGCATCAATTCCTTGTGCTTTTGCATAATGGCTTGTTTTCTAGACTGTTCCTTGTCGGACCGCAGAGATTGCACCACACCACTTAGCGACTTGGTCTCTCTTCCAGAAATATCGGACAATTGTTGCTTGGGCTTGACATTGTTGTCAGCAGTCAATGTTTTGCGCCGTTCCGCGGTGGCTTCCAATCGTAGTTTCGAGGCAGTTGTTAACGATGAGTGTCCTCGGCCCTTGACATTCTTGACGCGACTGTGGAATTCCATATTCTGCTTGCGAATCTTTTCCGTTCGTTCTTGATTGTCACTAATGCTCTTTTGGGCCAAATCTTTGCGCAAAGCTTCGACTTCGGCATCCAACGATTTGTTGGTACGACCACGCTTGATACCACGGGTCCGTTTCAAGAATTCCTTCTTGTGCTGTTCCATTTCCTCCTTTTTCTTTTGCAACGCCTCTTGTTGTTTCTTCTTTTGCACTTTGCGGCGTTCGTCATGATCAAACGAAAAGCGCTGAATGGTGGCCACGGGTGAGTTGTCTTGGTATTCCTCCGACTCATAGAATTGGGACATACGTTTGCGAAACTTGGCACCGTGTCTCTTTTGCTCTTGTTCTTCTTTTAATCTAGCATTGGCTCTCTTTTCTTGGAGTTCCGTACGTTTGGATTTGGTAGCCTTGTCTAGAGACTTTTGTTCCTTTCCCCTGACGCGGTTCAAGCGTTCCTTCATGGCCTTGCTGTGGGCCCGCAGTTCCAGTCGTTTGCGTTCGGCCTTTCGCCGTCGCTCATTCTCCAACTCTTGACGTCGTTGTACAATAGAATTGTCTAACGTCGTATTGGTGGGAGATTTGGTCGTCATGCGAGGAGTAGTACTGGTGCTGCTTGCTTGACGAGCTTGGGCTTGTCGGAGTTGTTCCAAACTCTTGCGACGTTCTTCCACCAAGTCTAGCCTTCGTTGCTCGACCGAGGTGTCGAGATGACTAGACAATTTCCCTTGCACTCGAGACAATCGTTTCTTCAAAAGAGCATTTTCCTTGGCCAATATCTGATTCTTGTGCTTTCGTTCCTCCATACTTTTGCGGCGTTCTTCTTTCAGTTCTTTGCGGCGTTGTTGGACGGTGTCGTCCAAATGCGTCGGTTGTTTCCATTGCACTTGGGCCAATCTGAGTTTCAGTCGGGCATTCTCTTTTGCTACCTGTTCCTCGGTTTGCTTCTTGACTTCCATGGCCTCGAGTCGTTCTTGTTCAAAGTCTGATAGTTTCTGTTCAACCGCTGGAGCCAGTTTCGGTTCCGGACCCCTCCATTGGACTTGGGCTAGCTTGATTTGGATCTTGGCATTTTCCTTGGCCAGAGCTTTTTGTCTTTCTTCTTGTTCTTGTAACGTTTGTTGCTGCAACTGCTCCCTAGCCTCTTCCATAGAAGTGTCCAAGGAAGTTGGCGTCTTTGCTTGGGCCATGTCAATCAACTGCTGATGCAGCAGCGCATTCTCCCGTTCAATCGCTTTGTTGACAGCCTCTTGTTCCGCTGCCGTTTGCAAAAAGAAGAGTGATTGATGCTTGGGGTCCATCAACTGATACTCCTGTGGATTGAAGGTATTGGTGTTTGTAAAAGTAGTAGTGTCATCATTGGTGATCCACGATGCAAGCGGACTCATCCTCTTGGTTTCCACAAAGAGTGATGATGGCCGGGTAGCAGTAGTAGTAGCAGTAGTACTAGTCGGATCCATGCTCAATGACAATGGTTTAATGTCCTGAAATGCTGACACTGTTGCTGTACCATGAACAGTATCATTGCCATTGTTCGCATCATCGGAAATAGCCATGTGTTCGTCGTCTTGATTATTTGTAATAGTACACGTAGCAGCATTATTGTTGCCGGTAGCAGCGGCCACCCAATCAAAGACGGTCGTCCCTGATAAATCCAGCGGCATGAACGGTGACGCTGGCCGTTGCTGGGATTGTGGTCCAAACGTGGCAGATGGAAGCTGTATCTGCATGGTTGTTTGTTGTTGTTGTTGCTGTTGTTGTTGCTGCTGCTGTTGTTCCTGTTGTGGTTGTGGTTGCTTCACTTGTAAATCTGTTTGCTGTTGTGGTTGTTGCTGCTGGTCATTGCTTGCTTGCGCAATCTGGGAATACGTCCTTTCCATCGTCTGTTTTGGGAGTCTTCCACGGAACGTGTTGATTCACGGTCAAACGTATGGCATATATCGCAGCTAGCTAGAGGTGCGGTTGGTGCATTGGAGAGTATATTATATTGTAACTATACGGGTATATTCGACAATTTGAATATGATATGCGACCGTGCGACCGTTTTGTTTTTTGCGGTGTGATGGCAATGATCTAGTCGATGTAGTCCAACGCCTACGTCTGTACCTTGTATTTTAAGCTCGCTCGTTAACTCATCGTTCTAATACGCTGAAGCTGCGCTATCATGTATCTAGTATGATCATCGAACTCATCGTTGAATGAGTCTTAAAGGACGAGGAAAGGGCATGGCTAAATAAAACTGTGATGTTCGTGTGAAGTCAAACCTGAGCAAATTGCAGAACCAAGAAAGTTCACTGATAGTACTATAAGAGCTCTGTTACTAGGGTCATCTGTTCCTCGCTGAAGGGTGCTTTAGCGACGTAGACATGCTTACAAATTGGCCACCCCTTCGAAAGTGGTGCAGGATTGTGAAATGACTGAGACGATGCGACCGGATTGATTCATTCGCGCGAATCAGAACCTCGCAATATTTGGTCATTGAGTTTTTCTCACCTGAAAACTGCGCTACTATGGTGTTTTGTTCATTGCGTATCAGTGTATCGCAGCATCTCTCTCTCTCTCTCTCTCAACAATAATATATACACACATATACGCATCAGCGACAATAATGAAGCGCCCGGTTGCTATTTCCGTTTTTTTGCTGGTATGTGTTCCCTTTCTGAATATACGAAAAAAATTAACACCTGCTCCCATCAGCGCCGCCACATTTCAGACGACGGCGACAGGAACCTCCAGTGCAGAGGAGTTACAAATGGAAGAGGAGGAGAGTAACGCAACTGTACCACCATTAGAAGATGAAGATGACGAAGAAGAAGAAGAAGTAAACACAGAACGTAGAACGGACGAAGTGACAACGACAACAGCAGAAGGTGCTGAACAAAATATAGCTGCTTTCAATAACGTGTCAGGAGGACCAACCGAACCACAAGAAACCACAGAGGAACCTGAAGGTGAAACCACTGGCAATATTAAAACTGCTAACGATACAGAAGAACCGGAAGCAACCACTGCGGCAGAAACAACAGCCGTTACAGAAGTGCCGCAGCCAACAGGTGGAGACATTTCAACTACGCCAGCAGTCTCACTTCAGCTTAATAACACTACTACAGACGATGACGACCCATATCCATTTCGAGATTTCATGTTTGTACATGTTGGAAAAGCAGGTGGCTCTTCACTCATGTTCATGTTCCGGGAAGCCACCAAAGCATGTCAAGGCATACTCAAGGCTTCCAGGTTTCGCACAAAGGCACAAATGATTCGGAACCACACTCTCAGCATGATGCCAATCAATAAACAATTGGAGGACATGACCGCAGCGGAACGAAAAATTGTACTCCAAGATCAAATGTGCCGGATCGCCTTTCCACCCAAAACGCGTACGCACATTCACTTTCGAAATATTTTTACGACTGTGAATAGCTACTCCAACTTTATTATAAATGTCCGCAACCCTGTGGATCGAATGGTCAGCTGGTATTACTATGAACGATACCGCGTCAAGGCAGTGGGATTCTTCAAACACAGCATACCTGGACAGCTGTATGCTATTCCATTCCATTACAAATGCTACAGTGGTGATATTGGTCCAATGATTCAAGAGGTTCTGATTGCCGACCCGCCCATGAATGGTACGGATCCCAAAAAGGAGGAATGCATTCAGCTCGCCAAAAAGTGTCTCCGCGGAGACGTACCATGCTATGCACACAACTTTTTCAACTATGAGACCTACTTGGAAGAACTCTTGCTCTGGAAAGGACTCGCCGATGCTGTGAACGTGACAAATGCCACCCATTTCAGCGATCCAACACCACGCGACGTTTCAATCAATTTGATTCGTACCAGAGATGTCTTGGGGGATCTGAACTCGACGATCAAGTTATGGAGTGGTCACCCTATGATGAATGAGACGGCTGGGCTATACACAGTCATGAATACCATCCAAGGACAAACTGGGAAACAGACCAACAAGACTTTATCAACAGAGGAACGCGGTACTCTCTGTAGATTCATTTGTGTCGAGCTAGTGGTATATAAGAAGATTCTCGGAGTGGCTGACAACTTGAAGACAGAGGATGTTCAGGAAGAATACGACGACCTTGATAAATCCTGTGGTTTCAACGTGGACGAAGTGTGTGGAACTAAGTTCACCTACCGAAATATCAAAGAGGTGAAAGGAAGAGTCAGGTACCGTTGAGAGGTTCAACCAGTAAGTCGTCATGATCCCTTTGACAATGCTATCATCACGTCTACAGTCTTCAAGGCTCGCAAGCCCTTTGATTACATTCAAGTGGACGACTTCAACGAACTTGGTCTTGACAGAGTGTACTACCTTCACGAGGATCTTTGCGGCGAAAGTGCTCGTTATTTGGTTGAATTTGGCACAACTGAGCAAGCTGCCGAAGCTGCTCATGGTTTGAAGGACGAGTTGGATCATCAGACAATCGTTTCTGCAGCTGTTTTGCGGACCTTTGGCAAGTCACAACTCATATCATTGGTATCAGCCAAATCCCCTGTCGATGTTGCGATTTAGACACAATGCATCCATCATACCGTAGATTTGGAAATAGCGTTCGAAGCCGTGCATAGATTTGGTCGCGTTGCTAATATCCCTAATACTAAATGTAAGGATGGTGCCGGTACTACCAGTATGGGACCCTTCAGATAATCTCACTCCTCTGATCGAAGTTACAGCATACGTTAACGCTTGTGATGATTCATGCATTCATTTAAATTTTTCTTTCTGCTCGTGATCGAACGATTTCCAAGGTAAAAAAGCACGCTTGTCGGATAATCCCAGCACAAAAGCACGTGGCGAAGTTCTATTCAGCCGATGAGAATTCGATTGTCTTCGTGTTTCGCAGTCGTAATCATGTTGGTCTCTCATTTTATTCTGTTCATGATTCATTCAATTATGGTACACGTACGTGTCTGCTCAGGTTAGCTACATCATCAGAAAAATTCTTGACAAAAAAGAAGAGTTTCGCGAAGTGAATTTCCCCGCGCGCTTCTCTCACAAAAAAATCGGCACAGCTCACAACTCGCACTCATACTGTAAGCTCAATAGTCACTTGCTACAGTAGGGCAAGAATGAACATTACAATGGGGCCCCAAAATCAGAGCAATGTCGAAAGGCATGAATCCAAAAAGAGTGAGGCCTTGTCTCTCTTTATGCGGAATCTTATAGCTAACGCTTCGAAGATCGAGGTTGTCAGCGATAACGCAAAGAAGGGAGCTTCCGATTGCAAGATCAAGCAACACTGTAATCGTTTGTCGATTCGTCGAATTCAGAGATGGAATGGCGGTTGTCGTGCAGGAGGTATTGCCACGAGTCCTGCTAGCAGCACCAGTAGGAGTAACACTGCTGCGAACGATCTTCCCCAGCGTCGCAAGTCAGTTGAACGTCGAGATTCCTCGTCTTCAGAATTCAGTTGGGGTACGTTGAATGACGACGACGACGATGATATTTGTTCGAATATTAGTGTGGACACGTTTGGTTCCTCCAGCAGCTTTTGCAGCCATGATTCTTTAAGCGCAGTTCTCCATCCCAGCTACGAACATGCGATAATTATGGTGAAGCAAAAGTACAGGAGTCCTAAGTCATGTTCACGTAAGGGATGAGAGACATCTTTTACGTACAGCATCTCAACTGCCGCATCCCTTTCGTCACGCTCACAAGATTGCCCATCAGCTCAACTCAACGGATCAGCTAGTGATGATTCCAGCCGATTGGCGCTCGAAGTTTGCGGCGAAATTCTGCGTTGTTGGAAGGCCATTCCAGTCAAGAACGCCAAACAGGTTGACCGTATGGTGGTCTGAAGAACGGACAGAGCCGCTATAATGCACCTTTCATAGGGCTGCCCAATGATATCATTGATACATAGTAGTGCATTGCTCTAGCATCGGTAAATCATAGAGCATGTCAACAAGTTATTCCAATCATCTATAGTGATAGTGTTTTTTACAGCGATGAAGTCAACCTAGTAGTAGGGTTGTGTCTTATCTTAAAGGATATATACGCCAGTGTACTGTAGCATCTCATCTCAAACCAGAAGGGGTTCAAATCAAAGTCTCTTTCAGTACCTCCTCATATTATATACTTTCACTTTGCTTGTGGCCATATACTAGTGGTTCTCAGACATATCTTGTGCGGAGACGTCTTGTGGGTTGAAGAGTGGAACGGGTGGTGCGAGGAACCCATGGGCAGATTGGCGTTGAATCTGCATTGGTGTGGAACTTTCCTAAGATCAAAAGAGTTTGTACTAATGTCGTGGCTGAGGTGCTGGTGCATAGCCAGGAGTACTAGTAGTAAGCTAGCAATGAAGAATATACCGGTAGCAAGCAGAACTGCATACGCCTCATGATTCGTTGGTCTTTTTGTGGCTGGGAACTATACTTTGATAGTTGCCGTCATTGCCATGACGGCAACTCATTAAATTGCCTTTTCGTAAGTTCACGACCAGCCGGGTCCGTATTGTGCCAGGTAGCGCAACCGGTACCCGTAGACTACTGCAAAATCAACTCGGGAAAGCTGACAAACTAAAGGAATACCGGTATACGGTACATTCGGAATCCTTCCTTTTTTGAATTTGACAAGTCTACCGGTATCTAATTTTATCCCCCACGAATGTATCCGAGTTTCCATTTGCAAGTCCACGACCTACCGTACCAGTAGCCAGATACTTTCATGATGGACCGGATAAAGAACTGACGGCTAAGGAGTCGCAGCTTCGTTTGAACTTAATGGAATCGAACAAATGGTAGGACAAGCCTTGAATGCAGATGCCCTATTGTGAACAGTGCACTTAACGATACGTCACCACAAAACTCTATTGTCTGACTGTAAGATTTAACAACAAGCCGATGGACTCGAGTGGCGACTGTGAGATTAAATAACACGTCGTAGGAAAACGCGAAGCTTTACTGTTCGATGGTTGAAGGCTTCGCACACACCTGGGAACATATTATGTACGTGTACGCATAGTTGTTTCTCATCACAAATCACAGCCGAGCACAAAAATTCTTCGACTCATTGGCAAATAGGTATAACCATGATTTTTAACAGTTCCAACAACGACAAGCTTGAAGAGGATAGCAGCAGCTACTCGAACACTAAAGATAACAGCTTGGTACTGTCACTTCTGACAAACCTTTTGCCGTCTTTGGATCATTCCTGTGCACGAACAAGTTCTTCCTTCCGACCTCCTCTGTCTTTTGAGGATCCATTCGATGATCCAGACATGGAACCTTTGCCTTTAAAGTCACAAGGTCTATCCACTCATACTACGCCCTACTTTGATCTCCGGAGCGAGCCAAATGAAACCAACCCTCGACAAGAAGGCAAAAGAACCTGCGAAAAAGACTTCTTCGCCCACAACGGGGATATTGGATTTTTACAGGTCAAACGGCAACGAACGAGTCAACTGCCAACCATACTTGACGAAGAAAGCGCAGCTCGCTTTCGCCCTTACCAAGAGAAGCAATGGAGGGATCAGTTTCAAAAGCTGATTCAATACAAGCTGAAGAATGGACACTGTTGCGTTCCTCACTCTTATTCGAAAGACCCAATCCTTGCTCGATGGGTCAAGCGACAACGGTACCAATACAAGAAGTTCAGCGATAACAATCCTACATCTACGATGACTACTCGTCGCATCCAAGAACTTGAATCTATTGGCTTTATATGGCAATCGCATGCCTCCGCGTGGCTAGAAAAGCTCAATGATCTCAAAGTCTTCAAGCAAAGAATGGGTCACTGCAACGTTCCATCTCACTATCCAGAGAATGCGTCACTCTCCACTTGGGTAAAGTGTCAACGTCGTCAATATAAGCTTTACACTTCTGGGGCCTCATCAAGTATGACATTGGAACGATACCATGTATTGCAATCCTTGAGCTTTGTGTTTGAACCGCAACTGTCTAAATAAATAATGAGAGGACATTTGCTGAACATGATGGAACTAGAGTTTAAAAAATAAATAGTATACTCTCATAAGTGAACTGCACACAAAAAAATATATATCTATGGTTTGTTCCATACAGATACAGTAGATGCTACTCCAGAGAATAGTATTCTTTCTTTCTGACCGGCATTGAATGGGTCAATGCCCGTCATGTTGATGTTGGGAATGCTATTTGTTCGAATATCAGTGTGAACACGTTTGGTTCTTCCCGCAGCTTTTGCAGCCAAGATTCTTTGAGCGTAGTTCCTATAGCTACGAGAATGCAATAATTATGGTGAAGCAAACGTACGGGAGTGCTACGTTATGTTCACGTAAGGGATGAGAGACATCTTTTACGTACAGCATCTCAACTGCTGCATCCCTTTCGTCATGCTCACTGGGATTGTCCATCAGCTGCTGTAAGCTCAGCTCAACTCAACAAATGGGTTAGTTAGTTATAATTCCAGCCGATTGGCGCTCGTCGAAGTTTGCGTCTAAATTCTGTCTTGTTGGAAGGCCGCATTCCAGTCGAGAACGCCCCACAAGTTGACGCCATGATCCTAAGAATGGACAAAGCGGCTGCAATACACCTTTTATAGGGCTGTCGAATGACATCATCGACATATAATAGTCCATTTCGCTATCATTCGTATTTCTTATGCAAGTCTCAGTTTATTCAATCACCATATGTGAAAGGACGAGGACGTCAACCAATCCGATCACTTTAGATTTTTTTCATATGCAACTGTTCCAGCTTCATACTATAAAGCAGGGTAATGTCTCATCTCAAAGTAGGTGCACCAGGGTGGCATCTTATCTCAAAGAACTATAGATGGCGTCCAAATTAAAGCCTGTTTTAGTACCTCAAATAGGATAATGATACGGGCCATTTTATGCTGGCCATAGTTGTAATTGTCAGACATGTCTTGTTTGGAGACATCTTTGTGGTCACACATGTCTTGTTTGGAGATGCCTTTGTGGATTGAACATTGGGACGGATATTGTGAGGAAAGCATGGTATAAGATTGGTGTTGAATCGGCATTGGTGGTGTGGAACTTCCCCACGATCGTAGTGTGGAGGCTAGGGTGGGCTGGCTGGAGGTGTACCGGGTACTCCTAGTAAAAATGAAGAATGTACCGCTAGAACGAACTACCTACGCATGGTTCCTTGGCGTGTTGTGGTGTGTTGTGGCGTAATTTTGAGGCTGCAGTATTGAGGGCAACTCATCAAACTGCCTTTCCCAAATGTCCGAGGAAGAAAGAAGGGACAGCTAGTGATGATTATCTTATTTGGATGATGAAGTGCTGGAAGTTTCGTCGGAAATGTACGACCAGCCGGATCAGAACTTTACCTGGTAGCTACCGCTAGACAACTAACTGCAAAGTGACAAGCTGAAGGAATGAATGCATCCAGAATCAATCATCCGTCCTAGATATTTGACCAGTGCAAGTCCACGACCTAAACAGATATTTTCATTTTGATGATGATTCCTGGCGGCTAAGGAGTCGCGGTGTTGTTGTCGAACAAATAGTAGGCAGTAGGACAAGATTTGCATGCAAACGATACACTTAACGATACGTCACCACAAACGCGTATTCTCTGACTGTAAGATTTAATGACAAGCCGATGGCCTATCTTGTGCGGAGACGTCTTGTGGGTTGAAGAGTGGAACGGGTGGTGCGAGGAACCCATGGGCAGATTGGCGTTGAATCTGCATTGGTGTGGAACTTTCCTAAGATCAAAAGAGTTTGTACTAATGTCGTGGCTGAGGTGCTGGTGCATAGCCAGGAGTACTAGTAGTAAGCTAGCAATGAAGAATATACCGGTAGCAAGCAGAACTGCATACGCCTCATGATTCGTTGGTCTTTTTGTGGCTGGGAACTATACTTTGATAGTTGCCGTCATTGCCATGACGGCAACTCATTAAATTGCCTTTTCGTAAGTTCACGACCAGCCGGGTCCGTATTGTGCCAGGTAGCGCAACCGGTACCCGTAGACTACTGCAAAATCAACTCGGGAAAGCTGACAAACTAAAGGAATACCGGTATACGGTACATTCGGAATCCTTCCTTTTTTGAATTTGACAAGTCTACCGGTATCTAATTTTATCCCCCACGAATGTATCCGAGTTTCCATTTGCAAGTCCACGACCTACCGTACCAGTAGCCAGATACTTTCATGATGGACCGGATAAAGAACTGACGGCTAAGGAGTCGCAGCTTCGTTTGAACTTAATGGAATCGAACAAATGGTAGGACAAGCCTTGAATGCAGATGCCCTATTGTGAACAGTGCACTTAACGATACGTCACCACAAAACTCTATTGTCTGACTGTAAGATTTAACAACAAGCCGATGGACTCGAGTGGCGACTGTGAGATTAAATAACACGTCGTAGGAAAACGCGAAGCTTTACTGTTCGATGGTTGAAGGCTTCGCACACACCTGGGAACATATTATGTACGTGTACGCATAGTTGTTTCTCATCACAAATCACAGCCGAGCACAAAAATTCTTCGACTCATTGGCAAATAGGTATAACCATGATTTTTAACAGTTCCAACAACGACAAGCTTGAAGAGGATAGCAGCAGCTACTCGAACACTAAAGATAACAGCTTGGTACTGTCACTTCTGACAAACCTTTTGCCGTCTTTGGATCATTCCTGTGCACGAACAAGTTCTTCCTTCCGACCTCCTCTGTCTTTTGAGGATCCATTCGATGATCCAGACATGGAACCTTTGCCTTTAAAGTCACAAGGTCTATCCACTCATACTACGCCCTACTTTGATCTCCGGAGCGAGCCAAATGAAACCAACCCTCGACAAGAAGGCAAAAGAACCTGCGAAAAAGACTTCTTCGCCCACAACGGGGATATTGGATTTTTACAGGTCAAACGGCAACGAACGAGTCAACTGCCAACCATACTTGACGAAGAAAGCGCAGCTCGCTTTCGCCCTTACCAAGAGAAGCAATGGAGGGATCAGTTTCAAAAGCTGATTCAATACAAGCTGAAGAATGGACACTGTTGCGTTCCTCACTCTTATTCGAAAGACCCAATCCTTGCTCGATGGGTCAAGCGACAACGGTACCAATACAAGAAGTTCAGCGATAACAATCCTACATCTACGATGACTACTCGTCGCATCCAAGAACTTGAATCTATTGGCTTTATATGGCAATCGCATGCCTCCGCGTGGCTAGAAAAGCTCAATGATCTCAAAGTCTTCAAGCAAAGAATGGGTCACTGCAACGTTCCATCTCACTATCCAGAGAATGCGTCACTCTCCACTTGGGTAAAGTGTCAACGTCGTCAATATAAGCTTTACACTTCTGGGGCCTCATCAAGCATGACATTGGAACGATACCATGTATTGCAATCCTTGAGCTTTGTGTTTGAACCGCAACTGTCTAAATAAATAATGAGAGGACATATTTGCTGAACATGATGGAACTAGTTTTTAAAAAACAGTGTATACTCTTAATTTTTTGAAAAGTGCTATTTTGAAAAATAGATATATCTATGGTTTGTTCCATACAGATCGATGAATAGTATTCTTTCACTCTGACCACCAGCACTTGAATGGGCCCGTCATATTGAGGCTCCGTAAGAGCAAAAACAATCAAGCCTGTCTCAGTACTAGCTACTTGTTCGCATGCGTACCGTTATAATATATTATATATCATCGTCATTTTGTCATCGTCATCATCATTACCCATCATCACCATCATTATCATCATCGCAATCGACCGTTATACATTCATATTACTTGCAAGTGACAAAAGATGGCTGCGATATGGTTTGTAAAACTGCATGTGCAGACACTCATTGGGGCACTTGATGAAAAGCTGCAATAACAGCGACGACTTGCGAAAGCCAAACAATGCGTATAATGAAGGCTCTATCTAACCACATATGGAGTAGGCGCTCGTCAGTCGTAGTCAAGTTTATATTGCCGTGCGGTGTTTGTGGCGCAACAAGATTTGAAGCGATCCGCGAGTCTCATATATTCGATCAGCTGGTTGAATGGCGAGGGACTGGTTTGAACTCAGTACAACGTAGTATAATATCTATGTTGCAACATTTCATATGAAAACAACTGCGATTGCCATACTCGAAATGGGACAAAACGTTCAGAACTACTATATAATGGTCGCAAGTGCAACCCTAAAATGAAGGAAATAATGCATACGGAGGACGTTGCAATTGCTCGCAAAGCAGTCCATCCTCGCACAACCCACACGACGTTAATGCCAAAAAATAGAGCAGCGTGATACTCCCCAGTTGGCAATGCATTTAAGCGTTGGATTCAGAAATGTCTGGAGGTGGAATCTCTTTCACTTCGCCGCTGGCGACAACTTTACGGGATCGTCCACCAGATCTTGAGCCTCGAGAAGAAGAACCTTTTTTCCTATGGGATCGAGGAGACTTGGAGTCTCCGTGATGGGCACCAGGGGTGTTGGGGCCACTGCTGCGATGGCGACGAGCTTCTAACTTCTCGTCAGAGGAATGTCTACTTTTGCTTCTGCTGGCACTAGAACCCGATCCCCCATTGGATCTTTTGCTTGATTCTTTGCCAGACTTCCGAGCCGCTTTGGAATCATTATATCCACCATCAGCATCTCGATTACCATTATCTGAAGAAAAGGCCCCAGGACGGGAATCCTTGTTGCGAGAGCGGGACTTTTTGTCGCCGCTTCTTCTGGATCCGCCGGCAGCATTCTGTCGAGCAGCAGATCCTACTTTATCTCGGCGAGCTGCCTCTTTTGCTTTCAAACTTTCTTCAGTTCCTCCCGATGCAGGTGCAGCCAAGGGAGTCTCTAAATCATCAGGCACAACTGCCGAAGCCATGGGAACGTTGTCACTTGACACAGATTGCGTTGGAGAATCGTTTGGAGAAATCATTGGAGCGGAATTGAATCGATTCACAGGCTTTTCTGCGGCTGTCAAAAAGTAACCATTTGCATTCGCTGTTGGCTCGTTGGGAAAATCAATAATTTCGATCTGTTCACGAGGGCTTCCTTTGAATTTGGTTGTTTTCTTCACCTTGATGGATCCATCTCCACGTTCCTTGACTTCGACGGAAGTTTTTTCGATGTCACGTTTTCGCTTTCGACCATATAGACATGTAAGTAGCAACAGCAGAGCAGCAGCGCCTCCAGCAATACCATAGATCATCGAATTGCCCATACTGGCTGCTTCCGGGGCCACGATGATTTCGATTGCAGTTGGCAAGATAGATGGCGTTTGCGACGGTGCTTGCGTCTGATTAACCGTGGGGGAACTGGAAGGACTCTGAGAGGGCTTGAAAGTTGGCATCGCCGACGGAGTCTCCGTAGGAGATGATGAAGGAAGAGGTGATGGCGTTTGTGTGGGTGGAGTGGTCGGTCCTGGAGATGGTTTTGGAGTTGGAGATGCAGTTGGTGTGGAAGAGTCCGACCGAGTAGGCGACAGACTAGGACCTGGCGTCGGTTCTGAGCTGGGGGAAGCTGTTGGCCCCGGCGTCGGTAAATTTGTTGGTCCTGGCGTTGGTGGAGGAGTCGGTGGAGTTGTAGGCCCTAGTGATGGTTTTGGTGTTGGCTGTGAAGTTGGTGTCTGGGAAGGGCTGGCACTTGGTTCAGCCGAAGGGAGAGTCGATGGCTGTGAACTTGGAATCTGCGAAGGGTTCGTGCTTGGCTCAGCTGAGGGAGGAGCTGTTGGTGGCGGTGTCGGAGGTGGCGTGGGGCAAATGCGGCAATTGGAGTTACAGTCGGAATCACAACTTTCATCACAGCTGGAATCGCAGCCGGAATTGCACTTGCTAAAGAGAAGTTATATGGGGTTAACGTGAGATACAATTCAAAGAATACTGTTTCTTTTCATTGTGCGACATATAGACAAACCTGTTAAAAGCGCCGTCACAGCTTGAATTGCAGCTTTCGTTACAGTCCGCATTGCAATTCGCATCACAGCTTCCAAAACACTCACGCCCTCCTTGGAAAGAGTTGCAGATCTGTGGAACACAAATATTGCAGTCTCCATCACATCCCATATTGCAACTACCGTCACAGGAACTATGAAGGCGTTAGAAAAGGTGAGTTAGATACACCGCCAATGTATCGACCGAAGCAATGAATTACCTTGTCCCAAAATTGCTGTTACAATCCGAATTGCAAGCCTCGTCGCAGCTCGTATTGCAACTCGATCCTCCTTCCTCGTAGTTACATGTAAGCCTTCTCCTCTCGTTGTTGTGATCAATCAATCGAGGAGATAGGCAGGTGTCCATGTCGCTCAATGAGCAAGTGTTGTCTGCAAATCCAAACGTTAGATGTGCAGACAAACCATCGGAAGTGGCTCTAGCAGAATGGACGACTTGTTTGGGAAGGTAGAGGGCGTCACCGGGATAGAGCGTAGTTCGCTCGCAGTATAGTCTGTCCATTTCAGCTGGAGTGTAGGTTGTACACTTATCGAGCTTTCCTCTGAGGTTCTTGTCCAATAATCTTGAAGCTTCATTGTCACACAGAATCCATTCTTTCGCTCCAGAGAGCTGAAGAACAAAGATGTCTGTGGTATCAGTGTGGTTCGCTAGTGCTGAGGATTCGGGTCTTGATAGGTACAGGTGGACGGTACCGCCATCTTCCATGACTCGGTTCTCTACCGCTTCGTTGACTTTCCATTTGGCATATTCGTAGACGCTTTGTTTCATTTCTTGGATTCGCAAGATGCCGCTGACTTTACCTGCAGCTTCAGGTTCTTCGTTGGTGATATCGCGAAATGCTTGGATTTTGTCCCAGTTATTGGAAAAATCAATGGACTTTCCTGCATCGCCATTGATGGTCAAGAGCTTCTTGCTTATCGCATCTTGAGGATGCGGGATCATGTCATCCCTCATCGCTTCGAAGACACCTCGAGCAATTCCTTCCGGCACATAACTGCGCTCAACGCGTAGCTTGTTTTGCATGATGAGAGAGGCATGGGCGCAATGGATAGCAAGCATCAAATTCCATGAAAGCAGAAAGAGATAGTACATGATCTTGTTCAATATCCTGCTGCTTCGCGTGAGTGACGAAATTTGTGAAGAGAAGAATCATCGTCGGCTTTTGGAAACTGAGAATAGTACGAATGTAATGCGATGACCTATGTAGTGTACCGGAAGCTACGAGGTTTTACAGCAATGGAGAAAAGGATATCTAATTCGGTGGTCTGAGCCACGAACTGCCACGCGCTGAGCCACAGAGAATAACAAATGTTCTCGTGCAAATAACGCAAAGATATATTCTGCTCGGTTGCAAAATTGTGAATATTTATTATGTGAAATTCTTTGTCGATCTTGATCTGTTTGGCTCAGAACATCTCATTCCTTTTTATTGCTTGAATGTTTTCCCTATCTCTGGATCGGATGCTCGGCACTGAGACTTCGATTACCTTTATGGTCCATACCACTATTGTTCTTATGACTTTTAAGATTCCTGATGTATTACAAACATTTTTTTGCAAGCAGACTAAGAAGTCAAACAATCATCTCAAAGTTGGGGTGGAGGCAACATACCTTTTTACGCAATCTTGGTGATTCAAACATTTTTAATATGTTCCCTGTGCATTGTTCCATAGGTACAGGTATGGCAAACAAAAAAGTTTGTTCGAAGTGCCATTGCTCACTCTATCGTGTCACCCATGGCAGTCTTCACTATTAAATGTTCATCGTAAAAATACTGTTGGGAGTAATGGGACGCCGTTAACCTTCGCCGGTCAATCTCACATATGCTGAAGCTCCAGGTCAAGGCTCCTACATTAATCAAACAGGTCGGTTGTGGCATGCTGGTATTGATTGTTGGTGAGAAAAAGCATTGCTGAAGACACTACAGTACACAATAGAGGCATTATGCAAAGAGAAATATATTGACAATAGAATACAATACTATTTTTTTTTAAACAGAGGACGAGACTCAGTACTGCTCGGTCAACATTGCCAATCGGTTGTTCTTTCCCAAGACCTTTTGGACAGCCTTCGTACCCAGTTGATCCGATGCCAAGGTTGGAAATCCATCGCCATCCACCTTGTTGTCTAGTGTCTTCCAGGCACGCTGACGCCAGGCTTGACGAAGTTGTTGGTTGCGAGTGATTTCCTTTTCCGGGACTGACTCGTTGCTTTGGACATCTTCTTCTTCCACGACACGAGACTTGGCTTGCAAGGGGTATCGGCGTGGCGGTTCCATGTCCGGCCAGGCAGTCGACGAGTTGGTCTCTTGGGATGTGCTGCGGCCAAATTGGTTGAGAGACTGCAAGTATTCTTGATTGCGGCGATCCAATTCTCTTTGCTTGCGGTCCGCCAAGCAACGGTGAGAAGGTGGTCTTCGAATGACAGCACCAAACCCATCATTGAATTCTGGCTGAGTTTCCTTGGCGGATGATGGTGACGAGGACAATACAACCTTGAGCTCTTCAAATTTGCTCACCAACTCCTTGGCATCGACTTTCTTTTGTTCTTCTCGGAAATCATTCAAATTTGTTTCGGATCCGGGAAACCCCAATTCTTGTTCGACGCGCTTGGAAGCTTCTTCTTTTTGCTTCTGAAAGGCTTCTCGCTTGGCAGCCAACTCTCGCCGTTTCAGTTCAATCTTGGAAAGCGGCTTTTCAACGTTGACTGGCGCTGGCACTTGCTTGGAAGGAGACGTCTTCACATTCCAGCTTTCTCGCTTTTGATGCCGCGCTTCTTGGGCTTTCTTGGCGAGTTGCTCTTGTTCCTTTTGCTCCCAAAAATTCATGACTCGTGATGGGGACTTCTTATTCTCGGGCGTTACGATAGGAGCCTTTTGGGATGGCGAAGCATCAAAGCCGGTTGCAATGGTGGGAGAAGGGGCAATGGTATCCTTTTCGGGAGTGACCATATTCATTTCATCTGTCGTCGGAGCAGTACAAGTTTGAGTCGAAAACGAAACATTTGGATTTTCACTGGACACACTCATGGCTTCCTTCGTGACCACAGAAGCTTCTTCGGGTACGACGGAAACCGAGGGACTGCGACGACCATCTCTCAATAGACTGTTGCGGCGATGACGTTCGGACAATTCACGTTGCTTCTTGACCAACTGCGACACTCGATTCTTGGGTGGAGGCTTGTCCAATAACAAGTCGCGACGATTGTCATCTGCTTCCGAGCTGGTGGTAGTAGAAGCAGTAGTCGTAGTTGTGACCGATCCACCCTTTTTCTTGGTCCAAACCTTCGCTGGCATTCGATCCACTGGTGTGACACCGGGAGCATACTCGACCACTCGCTTCTTGCTGCTGCCACCAGTACTGTTGCTACCAACACTTGCTTCTCCCAATCCTCCCGGAGGAGATGCAATAGTGAGTTTCTTGACCTTGTTCTTCTTTTGCTTGAGTCGTTGTTCTTCTTCCAATTGTTCCAGTGGAACCTTGGCAGCATTCCACATCCATTCTAGTTCCTTCCGCTTGGCGGCCAATCGGGCCGATTCTCCACGTTTCTTGCCTCCTTGCAAATCCTTCATAGATGGTGGCATGATTGGTGTTCGACTGGAACCCTTGCTTGGCAAGGAGATGGAAGTTGATTTCTTGCTGGCATTGGTTTGGGCAGATTTGGCGGTTTGGGTCGTTTGGGTAGTCTCCATGGTTTTGGTAGACGTTGGTGTCAGAACCGAAATGTCATCCATGTTGGAAAAGGATTGGGACCCAAGCGTCAATTCATTCTGTTGCAACATGGATGGAGGCGAGTCTTGACTGGACGACTTGGAATCATCCTTACTCGCTTTGGACTTGGCATCACCATCGCCCTCTTCCTTCTTGCTGTTGGAAGAAGACTCTTGTTCTTGTCCAGGTATTATTAAGTTGGTACTGGATCCTCCAAGAGCTGCCAATCGAGACGCCTTGAATTCTTCTCGCATCCGCCTTTGTTCGATCAATTGCTTTTCTCGTTTTTCATCTACTGCAGGACTTGCAGGGCGCCTTTCCACCTTGCATTGAATTGGTTTCAAGCGTGGATTGGGTTCCAAAGATGCTTGATCCTCCGAATCAAACGAAGAAGTAATTTGTTGCTTGTGTTCTTCCCGAGTCTTGGCGGGTGGTGCCGTTTCCGAATCCAACGAGGGGGGCAGACGTGGGACTCCATCCTGAGCAGATGCAAACTTGACCACGGGCCGTTTGGCTTCCGTTGACTTGGAGGAGGAAGATCCATTGGACTTGAGACTGGATGACGAATCCAAATTACTGTTGTTGGCAGTAGTTCTTGTTGTAGTTGGAACCAGTGGCAACGAGTTGGAAGCCTGAATGGTTTCATCCAATTGCTTCTTGAGGAGTTCTTCTTCTCGTTGGATTTCCGCTTGTCTCTTTTTGAAAGCCTCTAGCCATTCTTGTTCCTTTTCTTGCACCGACAGTCGTTTCGAGGCAATCTCTTGTTGAATCTGCAATCGCTTTTCTTTGCGTTCTTGAGCCGATGGAGACAGTGCCAATCGTTTGTGAATGGCGCCTTGCAAGAGTTCCAATTCATGTTCCTTTTGATTCACTTCCACATGCTGTTCGTGCTGCAAGACAAGAGTTTGATGATCATGTTCCGATCCATCGGTTGGAATGGCAGAAAGGTTCAAATTCATGGAATGGTCGCCAGAAGACGGACCAAACATTTTCAATCGTTGCTGCAATAATTCGTCCTGTTCTTGCTTTTTGATAAGGAGCGCAGCAGCCTCCAATTCATGCTTCGCTTGAAGTTGCTTCCGTTCCGCTTGTACCTTGTCATCCATTTTTTTCCAGTGTTGGGAAGGCATGTGATGAGGATCCGCTGTTGATGGTGGTAGTAACGATGAATGTTGCTTCGACTGTAGTGACGAGCCATCGCCAACTTTTTGTTGCTGTTGCTGTTCTTTTTCTGCTTTTGCTTGATCAAATGGAATGGATCGCACCGAAGATTCATCCTGGCTCCTATTGATTGCAGTAGTAGCAATAGTAGTAGTAGTAGCAGCAGTAGTAGCAGCATTGCTGGGTGATCGTACCGATCGACTTTCAATGCTCTGCGATCGACTTCCAATGCTTTTGCTTCCAAGGCTTCGACTGGCAATGCTTTCATCCGTAGCCTTGGCCCAAGCTTGTTCCCGTTTGGTTGGATCATGAATCCAATCAAAGGCTCGTTGGGCTTCATCATCATCACTACTACTTTCCGTACCGTCTTCGTTCTTGTTGTCATTCTCTGTTTCCTCTAGAGCGTTGTTCTGTGGTAGTTTTTGTGCTTCTTGCTGATGTGGCAACACTGATGATGATGATGTTTGTGGCCATTCTGTGGTGGATCCCCCGTCCACATTTCCTTGTTGAGATGGCATTGTTGTTTGTGGCCATTCCGTGGCCCCCCCGTCCACGTTTTCATATTCTAGATATTGTTGTTGTTGTTGTTGCTGGTGTTGTTGCTGTTGACTAGCATGTATTTGCCGCCGCAACGTATTGTGAATCACTTCGGTATGCGCCTGCGAAACGGTGGTGCGTCTGCCACTGCTCACGGCACTCAAGGCCTTGGAGGACGACAGTTCGAGAGCATCATGATAGTGTTGCCGTTGTTGTTCAATGGCAATGCGTTCTTGTTCCATCCGTAATCGTCGTTGCCTCGCAATGGTCGATTCGAATTCCATGCCGGCATTGTCAAGTTCCACTTGAGTGTAGGGCTGCTGCTGCTTCTGCTGTTGTTGTTGCTGCTGCTTCTGAGCTTCTTGTTGCTCCATTTTTTGTTGCTTCTTGGCTTCCCTCCAACGTTTGCCCCGTTCCAAGGAATCCAACGACTCGTCATCGGTATCACCACGGGTTCTACTGCTTTGGCTCCGACGACGCCGTTCATGGTCTCGAGACAAAAACTGATCATCGTAGGAATCATAGGTAGCATCGTCAAAACTATACGAATCATCCGTGGCGGAACCATCCGAATAGGTTCCAAAGGTATCATCATCGTCGGCATAATTCTTGTTGGCATAGTATTCCGCATCTCGTGGACGGCTCGTACGACTCCGGCCTCGTCTGCCACTACTGGAACGACGATCTTTGCTCCTTCGTTTGCCACTGCAAAAATGAGAATGATGATGATCGTCACTCTCGTACATGCTGGCATGGCAATGTTCACCCCACCAATCACCGACACTCACACAGACTCCATCAAAGTACCCAATGAATTTGGCGGTGGATTGACCAATCGTTGAACTAACCTTTCGCAATGGCGAATGATTACTACTACTAGCAGTAGTAGTAGTAGTACTACCGCTAGGTTGCTTTTGCAAACGTTCGTGTTGGGGTAACGAAGTGGATCTCCTTTGCCGCTTGTTGCTGGATGCAATAGTAGGCTTGTTGATGCTTCGTGTTTGAGACTTTGATTGTTGCGGTTGCTGCGATTGCTGCTTTGATTGCTGCTTTGATTGCTGCTGTGTTTGCTGCTGCTCTACAGTATTATTCTTTTTGGGAGAGGAGTTGCCCCGATGACTGCCAATCACTTCGTTGGGATCCACAATGGAAGAATTGCCACCCTTGGTCTTTTGAGTGTGTTGTGTGGATTGGGATTCATTGTCGCCTCGGAAATGGTTGGGATGAACGCCCAGGTAATCTCGAAACATGTTTTCCGCAGTATATTCACGCGTAAAGTCCATTTGCGAATGAGACTTTTCGGAGGCTGAGTGTGATGATTGATGAAGTGTTCGCTTGCTTTTCACTTCTCACACAAAGTGCTAATATTTTGAATTGGATTGAATTGAATTGGATTGGAGGCCTCTGGTGAAGAAAAACAGGACCCAATTTCTTAGTTGCTTGGCAGGTATTGGCAGTAGTTGGATGGAACGACAAGCTTGCTTACGTCAACCAAAGCTTGCTTTCCTTTCCCTCTCGGCTGCAGGCAGCAAGTCGGGTCACATCCGGTGGTTCTTCCTCTTTTTGGTTTTTTCGTTCCCAAGAATCAAACGGATCGTCTCGGCATACCACGTAGAAAACCCTACCAATGACTGCCTGCCAGCCCCACTTTTTGAACGACCAATTTCATGGGGATTCTTGCAGATTCAAATTTTCGGCGAATAACTACGACTTCCGTTCCGGGGACGAACGGAAAAGGGTTCCGTTGGAGGGACAGACTTCTGTTGGACGCACTGTTCACGTCGGTCGAAGCACAGGCCTGGAAATCTTAAATCGATCGAATGAATCAATCAATCAATCGAAAATGCGAATCGTATCCGTCCGCAGGTATATATCATCAACAACCAAAAAGAATTCGTATCTCATATATATTTACGCCGTCGTATCCATTTCAAAGAGTCGTATCTCTCATTTCCGAACGAACGTACAGCGTACCTATTATAATACTGTACATCACACAGCGTTTTGTCGTCATACCTACACAAAAACAGTCATACTGTACAAACAAGCACACTTTCTTGATGACGATCCCCACGAAGAATATCATCATGATGGCCACTTCGCCCACCAGCAATAACACTGCTACTACTTCTTCTTCTTCGCCCAACAGCAACAGCAACAGCAACAAGAATGCCATTTCGTTGACCCTCAAAGATCCTCAAACGGGATTGCATCCAATGTCCTATTATGGATATTGCATGGCCGGTGGATTTGCCGCCTGTGGTTTTACGCATGCCTCTGTCGTGACGTTGGATGTTGCCAAGGTCCGGACCCAAGCGTATGGCAAGTCAGGACAATGGCCGAATGGACTGTTGGCGTCCATTCGTCAAACCTATGCCGGAGAAGGCATGGCAGGATTGACCAGGGGATGGCATCCGACCTTCTGGGGATATGGCTTTCAAGGTTTGTTCAAATTTGGACTCAATGAATTCTTCAAGGATTATTATACGACCCTGGTGGGAGAAGAAGCGGTGGAATCTTCCACCTTGACCAGAATGACTCTGTGGGCGGCAGCGTCCGGATCGGCCGAAGTCTTTGCCGACGTCGCCCTGTGTCCTTTTGAAATGACCAAGGTCAAGATGCAAGTCACCTTGCCAGGACAAGCCGATGGATTTCCAAAGAAAATGATTCCCGCCATGAAGGAAATGTCGGCACGAAAAGCGGATACCAAATTCCCGTTGGGTTCCTTGTACCCATTGTGGGGTCGACAAGTGCCCTATACCATGATCAAATTTGTGGGCTTTTATCAGACCCAAGAATTTGTTTACCAACAAATCGAAGCAATCTATGGAAAACAAAAGAATGATTTTAGCAAAACATCCCAACTGGGAATTACCTTTGCCTGTGGTTACTGGGCGGGTATCTTTTGTGCGATTGCCACACAACCCATGGACAATCTTGTCTCCATGAAGGGAATTCCTGAAAATCAAAACAAGTCCTGGGGGAAAATGGCCACGGAAATGGGAACCCGTGATTTGTTTCTCAAGGGACTGTCGACGAGAGTCATTATGATTGGAACTTTGACTGGATTGCAATGGTACATTTACGGAAGCTTCAAATCAATGGTCGGTCTGGGAACTTCTTAAAAAAGCAAAAAAAGTGTAATGATGATGGTGGTGGCTGGTGGTATAATAGGCCCTAGTTGTAGGAACTATGTTTTTGATGTACATTCTTGTATGTGTCGTTAGCATTATCGAAACCTTCATTATTGGATTGTAATCATAGTCCTAATGGTACTACTACATCTTCGAAATAGCCCTACCTCAAATCGGTGGCTGGCCGTGGTGAATCATTGATGCGATAGTATATGGTGTTTCATGCTTTTATACCGTAATATATATGATAAGACTATCATATTTGATATTTTACAGTAGAATAGAACAAATAGTTCTAAATTTTATAGGTGGTTCATCAATGGAAACTATAGAAATCACCTGTATTTTTTATCCATCAATACCAATAATGAGAGGCAATGGCTTCCTTTCGTCACGCCAGAAAACTTGGCATCACGGTTCGGGTTATTCGTAGTTAAATCGTGGGGAATTTCTGTTGGTCCAATTTCGCGACCATCAATCGAATGAGGTTTTCCTTTTGTGATGTTTTCAACGCAGAGATTCTGACACGATATATTCTTTCGCGAACTCAATTGACACAAAATTGTCAAGGATATAAATATATACAATGACATGGCGTCAACGATTTTCTTACTATCCTTTTTTATTCCGCCCACAAAATCAAATCACAAGCCAAAAAACACAAAAACAAAACCAATTTTTAATCAAGAGGATCCAACACGCCTCTAGCCAGTCGACTCTATTATGAAACGCATATTCCTACTACTATTGCTACGGATACCTCGTGACGCCGAGTCGGCCCACGCCGCACAAACTCAAGCAGCATTTCTTTCCTTTCTTAGAAGACATCATCAAGAACATTCGGAGCAAACAAACTCGGAAGAAATCACACCCAACTTGCTGGTGGTAGAAGAACAAACACAGGCAACTGTTCGAACACAAGGGCGAATAGCAGTCAAGGCACCCCCGCCAGAACAACCCTGGTCCTTTGATCAAATCAACGAAACGGCCAATGTTTGGGCACTATCTCCCGATGAGACAATGAAGCTATCCATGCTACAAGAACGGCTTCAGAACCTTCCTCACCCCAAAAACAATCCACATGATGTCGCCCGCTTTCTCAAAGAATACAGCGGTGACGTCGAACAATGCGAGTCCCAGTTCCGTCAAATGATTGAATGGAGACAAAACACCAACGCCGATTCCTTTTTGGAGAATTATCAGCCGCCAAAAGACTTTGCCAAATTTCCAGCAGGCATTCTCAAGGGTCGCGATTGGGATGGAGATCCTGTTCATGTGGAACGAACTGGAGCTGCCGATGGACTTGGTCTATTGCGGAAATATGGAAGAGAGGAAATGGTCAAGCATGGCATCTGGCTTCGAGAAATCCAATCGCGAGGAGAATGGCTCGAAGAGTACGAACGTGAAGAAGGACATAAGATGAAGAGCTTTACAGTGATTATGGATTTCAAGGACCTCAATCGCCGGCATCTTACACCTTCTTTGATGTCAGCAGGCCAGGAGATTTCCAAGTTAGTCACGGACAACTATCCAGGATATGCCAAGCGCTTCCTAGTCATTCGAACACCCGGCATCTTTCACTTCGCATGGAACGCCTTCAAACCATTCATTGACGAGAGTACAAGGAAAAAAATTGTATTTCTGAAGGACAAAGATTACTATGAAGACCTCAAACAATACCTCGACCCTAGCATTCTCCCGATCGAAATATGCCCGGAAGGATCGGGACAGGCCATTGATGAAATTTCCCCAGCATGGGAGGGCGGTTTGATTGGCAACGCAAAGTAAACACACCGAACTATATATAGTAGATTCGAACTCAAGAGAGTAGCGATTCGATTTCGATGAAACTCATCTCTGAGGAATCGTTATCGGAAAAAATGTCTAGGACAGTGGTTCACTAGGATTACATCACAACTCAATAAAATATGCATATTGCTTAGTAGAACACTTCCATTAGTCTCTTGCGATTCGGGCACTTCGTGGGCGGCGCATCTCAGCGACACGTGTAGCACACCTGCTGCTTCCAACCATTCGACCATCCCATACAAAACCAAGATCGTCCAACGCTCGAATGCGCTCTTTTGTTAGGTTGGAGTTCTTGCCTTGCCCGTAGAGCCTGTATTGTCGCCTTTGACACTTGACCCAAGTTGACAATTGCTTGTTCTCAGAATGGGTTGATGGAACATTGCAGTCGCCATTTGCGAGTCGATAGGCTTTGAGGTCATTCAATCGCTCTTCCCATAGAGCGGAATGGGAGTCCCAGACAAATCCAATTCTTTCCAAGGCTTGGAGGCGAGGTGTAACTAAAGTTGACTGCTGTCCAGCCTGGCGTAGCTTGTATTGGTACCTTTGACGTTTCACCTGAAGCAAAAGGGGAGTCGGTTAGTATGATCATTCAGATTTCATACCATTTTACAGTATCGATCCGGAACAAAGATTATCATTAACTTACCCATCGTCCAAGCACTGGATTTGGTGGATATGCGTTGGGGACGCAACAGTGTCCATGTTTCGCCTTGTATTCGAGCAGACCTTGGTACTGTTCTTGCCATTGCTGTCCTTGGTAATTCCGGATTTTCGGAAGGTCTTCAACAGAATGGGATAAACGACTTCGCTTGGGAGCTCTTGCCGTGCTCGGCACATGGGTAAAAGCGGGTTCTTTCAAAACCCTTTTCTTGGCCTGGCGAGATTCTGGCTCATCGGATGGAATGGGTAAGAGTGGTGGCTCTGGAATCGTTGGTGGACGCATGACATAATCAAGAAACATTTTCAAATCATAAGATCCACTCTCCTTTGTGCTAGGACGAGAGATCGGATAAGGTTCGAAGACATCGCCTGCTTTTCCGACGGAATCATCAAAATTGTAGGTAGATGATCTAACAGTTTCAGGTGCCCACCGCTTATCTGTCGACTTCTCCAGACCCAACAGAAGAGAATCGGCTTCATCCAATTGTTGGCAGTCCGTATGATACTGCTTGGAAGCACCAGAAGGAACGAGTGCTGGTTCGTACTGAACATTGATCATGTGGCGTCTGTCTTGAGAGTAGGTCTTGATGTCCATGATGTAATTTTGTGAAAAATGAGATGTGTATGGATCAGTGCTATACTGCCAGAAAGATTCTTCTGATCAGAAGCTGACACTAATCGAACTTCGCTGATGTAATCCATCCCGACGATCGTCAGTTATTCTGATCGAAAGAATGCATGTATTCAAATAAAAGGCACTTTTTCCAATTAGACGCCGCAAGTTGTGACAGTCAGCAATTTTTCCAGATAGTGAAAAATTACCTTTCAGGCTTGGTTTTAGGCATGGCACATTCTTGATACGAATTGAGCGCATGCTTTGCCTTCGTATCAAGGATTCCACATCGTGCAGAGTACTAGTACCGTGGTAGGTTTAATCGTGCTTGAGTACATGCTGTAGACTATACTTGGTCTGATAGTGTCTGATGGTGCCTACAGTCACCTACTTTTGGTCTGATGTAATCCACTGCGATGATTCTGTCAGTTGTAAAAGTATTCTGATCGAAACAAAGTTATGATATAAAAGAGACCGCACAAACGCTCATGTTGTCGTATTTGGTTTGATGGTGGCGGCAAGGTGTCTTTCCGAGGAATGACATCATTCTCGCCATGAAGACGTTGGAACTGCAGATCTGACGAAGTCCACGTCACACCAATTACATCGTTACAGATGTCATATCTCTATTCGTCTGCCAATGCATTCTATTGATGAGTGTGTAAGCTTGAGTCTTCTACCAACGACATGTTATAGATGTTAGGTTTAGATGTAATTTTAAAATAGATGTTTTAAGTTTAGATGTAATTTTAATGGATGTTAGGTTTAGTATACAACCTCATGCTGACACTTTTGGTGATTACCTTAGGCACTGATGAGGAACAAATAAAATAGTATAGATCCAAGACGAGGAGAGCGAGCTTTGTGGAAATGAAACTAGCCAATATATGTGCATGATTGCTCGTCGACTTCAAATAAAAAACTACCGAATTAGACCTCAGCGGCGAATCTTCTTGAAAGTCGGCTGCTTCGTGGCTGGCTCTTCTCGACGACACGCTTGCACCTATTTCCAACCATTCGACCATCCCAAACAAATCCAAGGTCGTCCAGCGCTCCAATGCGCTCTTCGGTGAGGTTAGAGTTCTTTCCTTGTCCAAAAAGCCTGTATTGTCGGCGTTGACACTTGACCCAAGTTGACAATTGTTTACTCTTGGGATAGTTCGATGGAACGTTGCAGTTACCGTGAGCAATTCGATAGGCTTTGAGTTCATTCAGTCTCTCTTCCCAAAGAGCGGAATGAGAGTCCCAGACAAATCCGACACTTTCCAAGGCTTGGACTCGAGGAGTAACTAAAGTGGATTGCTGCCCAGTCTGCCTTAGCTTGTATTGGTATCTTTGGCGCTTCACCTGAAAGGAGAAGAGTTGGTTAGTACAATGTCATCAGTCAATTCAGTCCTCAACATTCCAAAGGTGAGTAGTGTTACTTACCCATCGTCCAAGTACTGGATTTGGTGGATATGCGTTGGGGACGCAACAGTGTCCATGTTTCGCCTTGTATTGGAGCAGGCCTTGGTACTGTTCTTGCCATTGCTGCTCTTGATAATTCCGGAATTTGGGAAGTGGCTCTTCCTCTTGGGAGCTCTCGTCGTCCTCGACGACATTAAAGATCCTACTTCTCTTTGAAGGTGGTGCTGCCGTGTTGATAGAAGCGTGTTCTTCGAGAAACCTTTTCTTGTCGTTTTGTCGATGAGGTCCTGGCTCATTCGATGGACAAGTTTGGTCGAAAGGTCGTGGTTCTGGAAGTGTTGGACGCATGACATTGTCCATGAACATATTCAGATCATGAGAAGACACAGACGTCTCTCTAGGGGTGGGACGAGCGATTGAGTAGGGTTCGAAGACATCGCCTGCTTTATTGACACAACCATCAAGATTGTAGTACATGGATGATCCAACAGTATCAGGTGCCCAAAGCTCCTTCTCAGACATCATGGATTTCTCCAGACCCAATAACAGAGAATCGGCTGCATCCAATTGTTGGCAGCTTGAGGCATCATAGGGTACGACTGGCATGTTATACTCATCGGCCAAGTGGCGTTTGTCTTGAAACTCGGAACTGATGTTCATTATGGAAATGTTTTGAAAAATGAGACAAGACCGTCAGTACCAAATCTTTATCTCTTTTCGATCAGAATGTTCTACAACTGTACGTCAGTTCTTCTGATCGAAACAATGCCCAGGGAATAATTTAATAAATGTGGACGCACTAAAATTTGGGACCTGGTACACCGGTCACGTAGAACCGTAGAATGTTTGTTTGTTCTGGGTATGACATCATCTCTGTTTTGATGACTACGAATTTCCGCGTATGTTTTCCCGTCCTGTGCGACGACGTTTCATGTAGATGGGGACTGCGTAGATGGCGTAACGAGTATCTTGGTAGCTAAATTACAGTTCACAATTTGAACGGGATCCCATTCTATGGTTGCGGGCTATCGAAGTTTGGATGACATCATTCTCGAGAAGAAAGCAGTCTTTTAGTAGTTCGGCTAGGATCGAAGAGTCCACGACGTCCACGTCATGATGGGTGTAGTATTGTCAGTCGGCGCCACGCCCACTTGGGGTTGGGACGATGATCATCGTGTGTAAGAGTGGGTCGTTTACCCTGTACTAGTAGCATCGGTATGCTTTGTATGTGATAGTAATATTAGAATTTGTAGATTTCAGTGCTTAATCATACAAGAAACTTGGGTGACTAATCAGCTGATGGACATGCAGCATAGGATCATTTTCGACATTCCAGCATTTGAGGTTGCCTCACGGTATCCACGCAATGCCAAGATTCAATCAAAGCAGCTCATGGATCATTGGCAGTTCATTCAAATGGCCTTGTTACCACAGAGGGTGAGGCCTCTATCATCAGAGCAAGTATGGTACGAATAGTCACAAGATAAAAGCATATAGATCGTTGATAGAGGGGTTTAAGAAAATGAGCACAGGTTATGTTTGCATATGTATAGATCCACAGTACATGCCGGTTGGTGATTTTGATAAAACTCTGTGTATGCCCTCATTTGTAGACTTGGTAAACATCTGCCTTCAGAATTCGGGTACTTCTTGGGAGGCTGATGGCTGTTCTCAGTGTCAGCCACTTTGAACCTGCTTCCAATAGTTCGGCCGTCCCATACCAGGCCAACAAGGTCGTCCACCAAAGCGGCTGTGATGCGCCTCCTGTCATGTTGGATTTCTTTCGTTTCCTGAAGAGCCTGTATTACCATCGTTGGCACTTGATCCAAGTTGACAATTGCTTGCTCTTGGGATAATAGCTCGATGGTGGAACGTTGCAGTTGCCATGATTGGCAATACGATATTGCTTGTTGAGTTCATTCGGTCGCTCTTCCTAGCGAGTGGAATGGTTGGTGTCGTCGCAGACAAAGCCAACAGCAGCTTCGAGCGCTTGTATGGGAGACGCAATAAGGTGTCACCGCAGAGTTGATTGGTATCTTTGAAAATACACAAGAATTGGTAGACCAGTACCTGAAGTGTTTTGCAAAGGAAAGAGGGTTGTGACTTGCGTGACCAGAGGTGTATAATGGAAACCCGTCGGTTCTGCGCGGGTCGTGTGGAAGGGTACAGTATGGTGTCGTTCTTGTTTTGGAGGAAAAGTTCGTTCCAGATTCGAAGATGACATATTTCATCCAATAAAAAATAAGACGAATTTTAGAGTATGTTTTGCGTTCATCTTTTTTATACGACGACGTTTCATGTAGACGGGGACTGCGTAGATGGCGTACAAAGTACTCTGGTACCGAAACTGCAGCCCACAATTTGAACGGGATCCCGTTCTACCGGTATGGTTGCGGTTTATCGAAGCTTGGATGACATCATTCTCGATAAGAAAGCTCAAAGCCTCCACGACATCCACGTCATGATACGTGTAGTCCATGGAGTATCGTCAGTCCATAACGTGGCCAATGGTTGGGATGACGATCGTTGTGTAAAAGTGGGTCGTTTATCGGTACGATAGTGTAGTAGGCACAAGAGTAGCAGCAGCATGCAGCATAGATATGATTTGCAGTATTTACTACTTACCAGCCATTAGCATGGCGCAAAGCAAATCATATAAGAAAGTAATTTTGTTGGATAGCAAATCAGCACCTGGTGGGCAAGCAGCATAGGAAGTGCAAGGAGGCGAGGATGTCTTTGCTTGTGCTCGTGGTATCGTTTTCGACATGCAGCATTTGATGTTTGAATTGTTGGCGATTAACTAGCACGGTGACTGTATAGAGTAAGGCTTTTGCCTTTAAAGCAAGTATGCTACGAATAGTTTCATAGAGTATGATCACATTTAAAAGAAAACTTCGTTATTCTTGTGCTCGAAAGGAGCTTACATAGCAGGGCTTGGATTGTGAACAAGCATATAGATCCTTTTGATAGCGCGCTCCGGGAAAATGAGCACAGGATATGCATGTTTGTATATGTAAAGATCCACAGTCCTTGCCAGTTGTTTTTGAATTTGATACAACTCGTGTGTACCGTCACTTGTAAGACTTTTAAACATTGGCATTTAGAAATCGGGTACTTCTTGGGCGGGTACTCTCGCAAGCGGCAGCTTTACTACACCTGTTTCCAATAGTTCGGCCGTCCCATACAAAGCCAAGGTCGTCCAAAGCGGCAATGCGCTCTTCAGTGAGATTGGAGTTCTTTCCTTTCCCGAAGAGCCTGTATTGTCGTCTTTGGCACTTGACCCAAGTAGACAATTGCTTGCTCTTGGGGTAGCTCGATGGAACGTTGCAATCACCATGGGCGATGCGATATTGCTTGAGCTCGTTCAGTCTCTCTTCCCACAAAGCGGAATGAGAGTCCCAGACAAAGCCAGCAGCTTCGAGAGCTTGGACGCGAGGCGCAACCAGGGTTGATTGCTTTCCCGACTCTCTTAGCTTGTATTGATATCTTTGGCGCTTGACCCATCTTCCAAGTACTGGATTTGGTGGGTATGAGTTCGGGACACAACAATGACCATGCTTCGCCTTGAATTCAAGGAGACCTTGGTATTGCTCTTGCCACTGTTGTTCTTGGTAGTTCCTGAACTTGGGAAGTGACTCTTCCTCTTGAGAACTCTCGTCGTCCTCGACGACATTACATATCCGACTTCTCTTGGAGGCCGGTGGTTCCGTATTGAGAAAAGTGGGTTCTTCCAAAAACCTTTTCTTGTCGTTTTGTGGATGAGGCTCGAGCTCGATCGACAAATTCAAGTCGAATGGTCGAGGTTGGGGAAGTGTTGGAAGTGTTGGACGCATGACTTGATCCATGAATAGACTCAGATCATGAGAAGACACAGAGGTATCTTTAGTGCTGGGAGGAGCCATCGGAGGAGCCATTGGGTAGCTCTCAAAAATGTCGCCTGCCTTACTGATGCAACCATCAAGATTGTAATACATGGACGATCCGACAGCTTCAGGTGCTGCCAAATGCTTGTCAGTCTTCATGGATTTCTCCAGACCCAACAACAGAGAGTCAGCTTCATCGAAATCACAGTGTGTTTGATACTGCTTGTTTTCATTGAGTAGTGCAACTGGTGCTTCATACTGGGCGTTGACCATGGTGTGTCTGCTTTGAGAGTAGTTGCTGTTTACGTCCATCATAAATGCCCTTTTATTAAAATATGAGATATATTAGTGAGTGTATCTTTTTCCGATCAGAATCTCACTGACGGGAAAAAGACCTCGCACACACCGGTTCCGATCCGTCAGTTCTTCCGATCAGCACAAAAGGAAAAATGGGCGCACAAAATGAGGACCTGTGGGAGCTTTACTTTTGGTTGTGGTACTAGAACTGAATGTCATACTCCTCTCATTAAATTCTTGATACGAATAGCGTATATAAGGGGGTTCGACCGGACGTCGTTGTTTGCGGTGCAGTTCTGTCGATCTACATAGAATTAACCTTCTCTTTGTTGGCGGACTCATTTTGAGCTTCCTTTCGAATTTTGTGCACAAGTTCGAATTGGATGGAAAGTTTCTTCATACGATTAGCCCATTTAACGTCGTGCTTCGGATCGTGAATCGACGTCGTATCCTACGTGCAATACCGTAGGACCTACAGACCATCCGTTGGATTGATCATTTTGCAAAATGAGTGGCTGAGCGGTATTTTATGGGAACGGTAGGTCATGTACCAGTGTGCGCCGTAAGGATACAAGTAGAACTTACGGACTTCGCTGGATGAGCCTTTTGAAAATGAAGAAACAAAACGGTATTGTGCATTACAGAAACTCGATCGGTTCGATTGGTTTCATCAAGCCTTCTCTTCTTTGGGGTAGGAAACAACGATTGATTGATTCGTTGGATTTCTGATTTTGGAAGTGAGCCTTTCACAAATGGTACCGCAGTTACGTGGACCGCCCTTATGGTAACAACGATGTGATATCGTTAGTGATACGGTGTGCTACTATGGAAATTGGTTTAAAAAAATGTTGATTCATTCATTCTACAAGAGCAGTTCCTCCTTTTAGAATACTAAATATTTTATGGCGGATATGTGAGGGTTAGAGTACAATGTGAAAGAGAATAAATACATATCTTTGCAGAGGAGATAGGAACCAGCAGTCATACAGTACTGTAGTAGTAGCAAGCTCAGCTGTCGATGGACGATCGTCGTTCTTCTGCTATTTCTCATCGTTCGGCCACCATCCCATACTGTAGAAAGTCACCTCTATCTAGATTGGAGTTCTTTCCTTGACAATCGTTATTTACTCTTTCGATAGCTCGATGTGACGTTGCAGTTGCCATTCTTGACAATTTGATATAGGCTTTCAGTTCATTCATTCATTCATTCATTCCGTCTCTCGTCTCTTCCCACACCACAGCAGGGCGTGCGGCCGAATGGGGATTCCCAGACAATTCCGACCCAACCTTAGAGTTGATTGCAGTCCCAACTCCCCCTCACAAGCTTGCATTGATGATACCTTTTGACAGTTCAACTCCTGACGGAGGCGAAGCAAGTACATATGCTACATATACTATTGATCTTGTAATGACACATCGGCCAAGTGATGGATTCGGTGATGACCATGTCCTCTCGCCGTCGTTTTCATGATATAATCGAGAAAGTAGCATCTTCAAAAAATCCAAAGATCTTCAGTGCTTCTGTGACGAGCAAGTACCTATTAGCGGACGATAGGAGTAGTAGGACGACGAGATAGGGTTCAAGTGGAACGGTATCATGACCATCTTTTGCTGGCATAAAAGTTGATACACCAGGGGCGGTTGGACGATCGGCACCGACGAGGTACTGGTACGCTGGTACTTTTGCATCTATCATCCGCAACCCACGCCTCGTCGCGCGAATTGGATTCCCATAGGATTCTGGGGGCATTCAGCGGTTCTCACTTTGATGGTCACACTGCTACAGTAGCTAGCTAGTCCTGCAAAAAGTGAGATGGAACCAAAAAAAGTTTCCAGTCGAATTTCAGGACATTTAATTATGTAAATGGCTGTGTCCCCTTCCCCTTAGCTTCGCACCAATGGATATCTTTACTTAATGATCGTTTGACCAGACATGTCACTCCAATTAGTAAAACGTGTATGTCAGTGTTCGATTGGCTATTTCTCAAATCCGTCAGTAAATAAATCTGGTTTGACCAGATTTTTCAAACAGTTAGGGATTTCGTACGTCAGTGGCAATCGAAATCCGAATTCGAGATGCCGCACTCTTTTGCCGGTCTTGACCGCTCGCCACATGTGATCAGTTCGTGCTCGAAAAGTTTCCGGTCTCTTTTTTGCCTGGTGTCAAGGCAGCAGGGGGGGACCAAAAAATGATTGATTGATTGATTGATTCGATTGTTGATTGAATGATACATTGCAGAAAGTTGAGATTAGTGATTGAGTGATACATTGCAGAAAGTTGAGGATTCGGCTAACTGTAGGTAGTAGCAGTATAGATTTAGGTTTAGTAATGTACAACCATAAAGGAAAATTGGTGATTGGCATGCTGACAAGGAGGGAGCTTATACATAGACAAGCTTGCCAGTGCGAGTTTGGGGGAACTGAGGATAGGAGGATAGTGTATCTACATCGGTTTCCATCATGATCAAGATCCCCAGTTCCATTGCTCGTCAGAGTGCAATCCAGTCGAAATCGTAGGGTATCATCCCCCTTAGACCGCAATGGTCGATCTTGAAGGATTGTTTTGAGAGCTGCTAGTCTTCTCAACAACACCCTTACACCTGTTTCCAATGGTGCGGCCATCCCAGACGAAGCCAAGTTCGTCCAAAGCGGCAATGCGTTCTTCGGTCAAGTTCGAGTTCTTTCCCTTTCCAGTGAGTCTGAATTGCCGTCTTTGGCACTTGACCCAAGTAGACAATTGCTTGTTCTTTGGGTAGCTGGATGGGACGTTGCAGTGTCCATTGGCAAGTCTATATTGCTTGAGCTCGTTCAGTCTCTCTTCCCAGAGGGCTGCATGAGAATCCCAGACAAAGCCGACATCTTCAAGAGCTTGGACACGAGATGCAACCAAGGTGGATTGGAGCCCAGACTCTCTTAGCTTGTATTGATATCTTTGACGTTTGACCTGAAGTGATAGAGGGAGGATATTTTGTTAGTAATTGAATGCATTGGAAGATAGAGAGGCATTTCTTGAATGCAAGAAACTTACCCATCGTCCAAGTGTTGGATTTGGTTCGTATGTGTTGGGAACACAGCAGTGACCATGGTTGGCTTTGAATTCAAGGAGACCTTGAAATTGTTCTTGCCATTGCTGTTCTTGGTAATCCCGGAATTTGGGAAGGGAATCTTCTCCACAGACGCTCTCATCGTCAGAGACATTACATATCCGACTTCTCTTGGAAGGTGGTTCTGATGTGTTGATGGAAGGAACAGGTTCTTGGTGCAAGAATCTCTTCTTGTCATTGAATGGATGAGGCTCGATTGATTCAATTGGTTCAATTGGTTCAATTGCAGCTGGAGTAGTCGTTGCAGACTCGAATACAGCTGGTTGTGCGGAAGGACGCATCACGTAATCCAGAAACATCTTGAGATCCGCAGACCGTCTCTCTTTTGAGCTTGGTTGAGTGAGTGGGTACGGCTCAAAAATATCACCGGCTACACCATTTCCATGGTTGTAACCTTGAAGATTAAAGGTTGAGCCTACAGCTTCCGGTGACCAGTGGGCATTGGTCATCGGAGGTTGTCTCACAGACATGGATTTCTCCAAACCCAACAAGAGAGAATCAGCCGCGTCCAATTGAACACTGTCGGCATGATACTGCTTGTTGTCATTGAGAAGTGCCTGTGGTTGTCCGTATTGGACACTGACAAACTGTGGAAGTTGTTGGTGGTGGTGTTGCTCCTTTTGCGGAGAGTGGGTGTGGACGTTCATCATTCTATGCATTTTTTTGGTGTTTCGTGGACGATGAGTTTGGACGTCAGTATGATTTTATGAACAGAAGAACTTGTCAGTTTTTTTTTGGTTTCTTTCAGTGGGAACTGTAGTGCTTGTGACTTGTGACCTAGACGGGACCCCTCATCAAAACCTTCCGATCGGAAGATCCTTTTTTATGCGTCACACATCGTACAATTGGAATTCGAAAACGAAGATAATCCGTCGTTCACTTATGTAACCCAAAAGCGAAAGCCGATCCGCGTCCAAGATATGATTCGAAAAGACTTCGCGCTAAAATGAAATTACATAAGGCACATGGGACCCTGATTCTAGTGGTCACTAACGGCACAACGGCAAAATGGTACTGTAGAATACTGTACCTCTCTTGTTGGAAAGAGATGTCATCATGGACACCACCAACTCGGTCTAGTCCACCTGAGGACTCTGAAGTGTAACAACCTGTACATCCCAGCTTGCTTCCACTCTCGCTGAAAAGTTATAATGTTACAGTAGGCCCTACATTATCAGTACTTTTTACTAGTAGTAGAGCATTTCTTCATTAGTAGTCAGAATGGCCCAGCAGAATGGCCCAGCCACGCGCTTCCACTTGTTTTTGCCATCGCTTGCATTGGGATTCCTACCCATCCACATTTCGACACGTTATATTTTCATATGGGATCTGTCTTAACGTGACAACGTTGTGCTCCTGGCTCTCCTCGTAGAGAGAGCGTACTAGTGCGTTGATGTAGCTACTGTTGGACATGATAGACGGTGATTGATATTGCTAATGGGGTGTATTTACGGGGGTCT